TCCGCCTGCAATACGCAGTCCATCCACATTAGTTCTGATCACTGGCTGCCTCGAGGCTTCTCTCTCTTCCATCCCTCTCTCTCTCTCTCCTTCCCTCTCTTTGTTTACCACGTAGAGGTTGATTTATGTCGGCTGCATTTGGCAGAGTTGGGTGGCGTGGGCGAGATACAGCAGCTGAAGGGAAGAGAGAGGGGAGACGAGCAGGACGGAGGAGAAGAAGGGGAAGCAAAAATGAGTAAGGCCAAATCAGAGTGATGTATCACGGAAGAGGAGAGAGAAATGAGCAGAGAAGAGGACACAAGAGACTAAGGGTTGGATGAGAATAGTAAGTAAGGAGGGAGAGATTTGAGGATGGAGGAGGAGGAGGGAGGCTGTGCGAAGAGACAGAGAGAGGTGTTGGAGTGGCCTCCGGTGTCTCACTCTGATTTGTATCTTTTATGATGCTTCTTCATGTCAGAACACAAGGTCTCATGCTGCAGTCCCTCTGGCTCGATCGCGCCTGTGTTTCTCCCTCATCCTCCTCATTATGTTTACTTGTACATTTTAGTCTTATTCCCAGGACACACAGCCTAACCTACCTGTGTGTGATGGCTACCTCACTGAACTGCTGTGGCTCGCACACATGTGGTGGCCAGACAGACAGACTGCGCTGCTGCCAACACTATCCTTCTACACTGAGTTTGCCTTTGATAAATACAATACAATCAAAGCCTGGTTAACAAATGAATGGATTCTGTCTATAGAAATGCTAGAGGGCTTTTAATTTGAAAGAAATACAGGAAATGTAGAGTTTGAAAAATAATATTTGTTTGCTGATATCCGCGATGCACACACGCCACTCATGCAGACAGCGTGTTCCAGGGAGTCATTACTGACAGACGGTCAGGATAGGTCAGTTTAGAGTTGATTACATTAGATTACGTAAAACTTAAATGATTCCTTTGGGAAAGTAGGGCTGTTGCAGCTACAGTATCATAGTTTACTAAAGCAAATAAGTTCACAACTAATCTGCAATCAGTGTAGGAAGAGAAGGACCCAAATGCAGAAGCCAACTACTTTCTGGAGTCCTCTTGCATGATGCGTTCCACACATGCTGAGATGCATTATGTAGCTTGTTGTAGTGTGGTAGCCTGGGCAGTCACAACAAATTGGAGGTACGCGGAAAAGCAGAAAGTCTAATCCCGACTTGATGCAGTTCCACGATTTAATGACACAAAATGGAGGTACAACGGCTTATGGGATAGTGAGACAGGCAAGGGCTTAAACCAGAAGGCAGTTTGACATAAGAAAATAAATCCAAAAAAAGGGCCAGGCAAGAATCCCAAGTCCAATAAACAATATGCAAAAAGTCAAACGAATTCAGGTCATCCAGAAAATGCAAGAATATAGAGCACTGCTAACTTGCAGAGCAATCTGGCAAAGAACAAAGGAAGTACACCAGTATATGTGGCAAGTGGCTGATGATGGAATGAGTTGCAGGTGAGGAGTGGGCATGGTAGGCCAGGTAACTGCAGGACTGATAATAAGTGGGAACCGGTTCGTCCAAGGTGATCTGGTGGAAAGGTGGCAAGTCTGTGGAGCAGAGGAAAGAACATGGCCTGGGAGAATATGAGAGAGTGACTAGGGTCAGATACAATCAGGGCTGAAGGTTAACATTTATACAATGCCCATTATGTCATACCCAAGAGAAGTGTAAAGTCTGAATAATTAAGTAAAATTTTTGTGTTGTTCCTTTTTTTAAATTTAATTTGTGTACCCGTGGGCCACCAGTGATTAACAGGAGGCTATGGCAGGGCTGGCTTTCTCAGTGTGTTGACAGCGACAAAGAGAGCAAAAAAAACCAAGTCAGCCAGCAGTAGAATAAAATTCTGACCTCACACAAACCAAAGTGTCTTCAAAGACATTAAAATAATCCTTTGTGTGTCATAGTGCAATACAAAAACAAATGTATTTTATAATTGCTCTGAAACCAGACTAATTGTCTTCAGCCAGGCTCTGTGAGGCTGTACTTAGGCACAGTAGTGCTTTGAGTGAAATTGTAACACTTGCATGCTAACATGGATGATAAAAAGTTATTACATTTCAGTGGAACATAGGGGTGGGCGGTACACCGGTGTCATAGTCATCACAGGTGTGACATTGCCACGACATGGATTTTGCAATACCGTCAATACCGAGAAATCAATTGTGCGCCTTGAACGGCTGCATTTACATCAATAATAGCCTAATTCTAAATAATAAGGCATTACATTTTCTTCAAACGTTCAGTTGTGGTCTGAATACCCGTCCTTATATACTATATATCTTGTTGCAAATAAAAAAGTAAAACATATTCGTATCAGCTTTGCAGGTGGTCAAAAGGGAGTGGCCATTAAATTAGCGTAACGAGCAATTAACCTGGGTAATCGATAAAGAAACGACTGGTGAAACATCGCGAAGAAAGGTCGGGCCTGTAGCCTATATGATCTGAAAAGAGATGAGTGGAGTGTCGGAACCAGACGGAGAGACCGAGGCCGCTGGAGAGGAAACTCTCGTTCCAAAAAGAGGAGGCACCTCCGTTATTTGGAACTGGTTCGGTTTTAAATCATCCGACACGGAGCAAACTTCAGTAATATGCAAGGTTTGCAGCCGTGTTGTGACAGCAAGAGGTGGAAACACAAGCAACCTGTTTCATCATTTAAAAAAACACGCACGCCCGTCAATATGACGAGGCAACCCGGGCCAAAACGAGCGCAAGTGGGACAGGCAGCACCAGCGGAGCACGTCCCAGGACTACACAGCTTTCACTGCAGGCATCGTTTACTGCTGCTACACCTTAAGAGTAGTAAGAAATGGAAAGATATTACCAGGGCAAATGCGCTATATATCGCAAAGGACATGGTGCCCATTCAAACCATAGAGAGAGATGGCTTCAGATATGTGGTTCACACTCTGGACTCAAGATACGAGCTGCCTGGTCGGAAAGGTTTTAGCCAGAAGTGTCTGCCAGAGCTGTACACGGAGGTACGGGACAGAGTCATGAACGAAATTCGCCACCTTGAAGCCTACTCGGCCACTACTGATTTATGGTCCAGCCGGACTACTGAGCCATACATTAGCCTCACCATCCACTTCATTGACGATGACTGGAAGTTGCGCAGCCGATGCCTACAGACCGCCTTCTTCCCCAAAGACCACACCGGAGCAATAATTGCGTTAGGACTGAAGGATGCACTTTCTGCCTGGGGCTTGGATGAAGCGCATCTGGTGTGCATGACAACTGACAGCGGTGCAAACATGGTGCGTGCTCTAGAAATCAATAAATGGAGAGACTGCACAACGCTATTGGTAAGTTACACTATCTAAACCTAACATTTCATATTCAGAAAATTTGTCAAGTCCTTTTCTGTTTGTATTAAAAAAATAACACAAAAACAAATTTAAGACCACCACATTAGTATTGTATTGTTCATTGTTAGTATGGTTTAGCCGTGATTCCTCTGGGGACCGGATCAGAAAGTAAAAAAAAAAACATAAATATAAAATACAAATATCATCAGATTATATGAAAAATATTATTAAAAATATGTACAATATATATGTGTTTAAAATGAAAAAGCTGTACTATTTGTGCAGGCATGTGCAAAATATTGACCAACATACATACAATATGTAGGCCTATTGGATTTGTAATAGCCTAATGTTCAGTGTGTCCATACAATAAATACTTATGCTGCTCTACAGTTAATGGTTTATTAAGTTTTTCAACTATGATAACCTACTTTTCCACTTATGCTAATATCTTTATTCGTTCTTTTTACTTCCCAGAGAGGAGTGTCCAACATGATGCTCGAGTTGCACGGGCCACAGGTATGTGCAAAAAAGTGGTCAGCACATTCTCCTACAGCTGGAAAAAGAAGAAGGCCCTGACCAGTGCACAGAGAGAGCTGAACCTGCCCCCCCACAAGCTGGTCACAGAATCCCCAACAAGGTGGGGGTCCCGTGTCAAAATGATGGAAAGGGTGTTGGAGCAGGAGAAGGCCATCACTCAAGTCCTGGCAGCAGACATTGAGGTGTTGGAGGCCATAACCAAAGCACTGAAGCCTCTGCAAGATTTTACAGATGCCCTGTCAGGAGAGGAGTATGTTAGTGTCTCCTATGTTAAGCCAGTCCTCCATCTACTCATTTCAAACATTTTGAAGCCAGAAGAAGACAAAGCAGGACTGTGCGAGGACATCAAGAAGAGGGTCCTGGATTATTTGAATGAAAAATACAAAGATCCTGCCACTGACGAGCTGCTCACCATGGCAACATTCCTGGACCCACGGTTCAAGACCACCTACATGTCACCTGAAAAGTTGGAGGAAGTGAGGAGCAGAGTAGCTACAGAAACCAAAGCCCTGGAGGAGAAGACAGCCACAGATGCGTCTTCCACAGAGGACCAAAGCGAGAGGGAAACTACTGTTATTACACTGCAAATTTTTGTTTTGTTGTACACTGTTAAGTAAGATCTTTAGGTTTTTTTCAAAATAAATATGTTGAGAATGCATAATACTCTCCCATGTCTCTTTTTGATAAGGATACCTACCATTTACTTATTATATTATAAAAATATTAACTTTATTCACATAAAGGGACAGGACAGGCTACTCCTCCCAAAACGTACCAAAAAAAAAGTAATACCGTGATATTAGACCGTCACCGTTCAAAAGATGAAAAATACCGTGATATTAATTTTAGGTCATATTGCCCACCCCTAGTGGAACATGAATGTATGAACCAAATTTCATGGCAGTCCATCCATTACTTGTCAAAACATTTTATTAGGATACATCATCTGGGAACCATGAATGTACAACATATTGTGCCAATCCATTTTAGATGTTGAGGTATTTCATCAAAGGTAAAAATGTGTCTTGAAAACAAAACATTGGGGCGATAATACCCTTTGAGATAAGGTTCATTATTAATCCTTTTTTATGACATTGAAAATAATCTTTTCTCTCCCTCCCTTCCTGCAGCCGGTCAGTTGAGTCAGTCGGCTCACTTCTCCCTCCAGCTGCCCTACACTGTGCTGGGCCTCGGACGCAGTGCCAACTTCCTTGACCACCTATTTGTCGGCATCCCCCGGAAGCCTGGAGACACGGTAGGGAAATATGAGAGGGTTATATTAGCTGGGCAGTGCACAACACTCCTGTAGAAATGGCCACAGTCTGTATGGTCTCACAGAATGAAATGAATGAAAAATATCAAAAATAATTGTTTTTCTCCTACTACTTTATTTCATAATGGGCTGAATGCAACGCATTTCTTCTGAGGAACTGTTTGAAAGGTATTTTGTGAAGATTCAGAAGAGGGATTTCCCTCCACGTATGTTCTTATCAAACTAGAAATGCTCAACAGAGACAGCAGTGTCTCCCTGATCTTGCAAAAACATTTTAATAGTTGGTTGAGGTTGTTTTTTCTTATTCAAGCAGCAGTTACTGCAACAAAATACACCGATCAGCCATAACATTATGACTACCGATTGGTGGAGTGAATAACACTGGTTATCTGGTTATAATGGCACCTGTCAGTGGGTGGGATATATGAGGCAGCGACTGAACATTTTGTCCTCAAGTTGATGTGTTAGAAGCAGGAAAAATGGGCAGCGTGAGGATTTGAGTGACTTTGATATTGTGATGGCTAGGGTCAGAGCATCTCCAAAACTGCAGCTCTTGAATGGTGTTCCTCGTCTGCAATTCATTTCAGTTCAATTTTATTTGTATAGCGCCAATTCATAACAGAAGTTATCTCAGGACACTTTTCAAATAGAGCAGGTCTAGACCGAACTCTTTATAACATTATTTACAGAGACCCAACAGTACCACCATGAGCAAGACCTTGGCGATTGGGGCAAGGAAAGACTGCCTTTTTAAGAGGCAGATACCTAGGACAGACCCTTCTGCTCTAGGTGGGTGGTCGTCTGTCTCTGCAGAGGTCAGTACCTATCCAAAACTGGAAGAACTGGATACAGGGTCATGGGTGGCCAAGGCTCATTGATGCAGGTAGGGAGTGAAAGCTGGCCCGTGTGGTCTGATCCAACAGACGAGCTACTGTAGCTCAAACTGCTGAAACAGTTAATGCTGGTTCTGATAGAAAGGAGTCAGAACACACAGTCTGTTGGTATGGGGCTGCAGAACATACTGACCACCAGGGTGCCCAGGTGCTCACGATGTTATGGCTGATCAGTGTATGTGATAATATGTCTTCAAAATGTCTATATTATTATATTTATATATATATTATAATAAAATCTGTAGTAAATGTTTTAGGTTATTTATTGTTTTCACTAATGATTGATCAAGCTTTTATTAGCTAAACACAAAAAACAATTAAGACCTACACAATGCTAATCAGTTCCCCATTATCTCCAATTTTCTACTGAAACTCTTTGGTTTGCTTCTGCATTTATGGATCCTGTTTATTGTCTGAAACAGAGGCAAGTAGTCATTTCTTTTTGTTTTCAGTTTCATTTACTTGAATTCTCACAATAAGACTTTATATAAACTAAATCCTGCTCAGTCATGATAAGTTATGTCTTTTCTATGTTTTGATAGCAGTTACTTTTGAGGGAACATATTTTGCAGCCCTCGTCGCTAGAAAAAGTCAAAATTTGGCAGGATACATTTGATGGCACACTGAGGCAGGATTGAGCAGTAAAATGGAGGTGAGAAGTTTTTCGCCCATCTGGTGATTAAAGAGAAGGGAGGTTGGGGGTTGAAATATCTAACAGACAGTTGCTTTATGGCAAATAGATTACACATCCCGCTTATAATGTACTGTATGTTATATGAATAAAGGTGCAGCAAGCTCCCCCTCGAACAGAAACATCACCCCCCCACGTCTTTACTTTGAGCTTCAAATACATCTTTGTTCAACAACCCAGAGAGTAGGGGAAGTAGGGATGACTATACAGCCCATGTGTGCCTCCTGTCATACTACAAGCCAGTGTTATATTAATATTGTAAATAATTGATCGGGTTTATGTTTTTAATCTATTCGTCAGCCACATTTCTACACCACACTACTTCAAATGTCAAGGCTCTTCAGTTCAGCTCTCTCACTATCTCTGCATTCATCTCCATCTCTGTTTTCTCTCTCTTTCTCTCTCTCTCTCTCTCTCTCTCTCTCTCGCTCTCTCACGTTGCACTTGTCACACTCAATATTAGGCACGACAGGGCCCTTTTTTTCCCCTCCCGTGTGGTACCAAGATCTTCGTCAGGCAGCTGATTTGAATTGTAGATGGGTTGGTCCGCGACTCAGAAGCTGTAGTGCACCAAGAACATTCATCTCAAACAAGCGGCTTTGTTGTCCCCTTTCTGCACACTCCTTTTCCTATGCAAAGAAATGTGATCTTTTTTACGCCCATTCCTTCTACAAAGTGAATTAATGAATGCCTAAAGATGCGGCCCATTATGCAGTCAGTTTTATTTTTACCCAGAGAGACTACAAAAGGGAGTAACTCCATCAAATCTACCTATAATGAGGAGGAGGAGGTTTAGAAATCCTGACCGCTGCGCCACCCTGCTCAGTCGGCAGGTTTGGATCTTTCTGTTTGTCAACTCTCTTTATCTCTCTCTCTCATTTTTATTTCCTTTCTCTCAGTCTTTATATTTGTCCTGCTTCCATTTTCTCACTATCTCCCCTGCTGTGCCCTTTACAATTTTCTCCTCCACAATGAGAGTTTCTGCCTGCTGTTTCACAGAAGGAGAGGTTTTGTAAAATCTACTTGGATATCTTCCATCTTCTGTCCAATCATTCCCCTCTTTTATTCACCCCATCCCCATCTTTTCTTTTGAGTCTCTCTCCTCCTGTTCACTTATCTTCCACCCAGGGGATTCCCTTTGCTGCTCAAAGTGGTTTGCTTCACTAATCAGTCCCCTACTTGTCACTCTCACTCTCTCTGTGTCTCCCTCACCCTCCATCTCTGTATCTGTCTCCCTTGCTCTCTCATAGTGTGCCAGTTTCCCTGGCTTTGAACCAGAGTGTCTCTCTTTCTCTCTGAAGACTTGGGAACACTTTTCTCTTCCAAACAGCCAGATCGGATCTGCTCCCAGGCAGCAGTAGTGGAGGCTGACTCGTCTCCAGCTCCCCCGCCAGTTGCCGCCCCATCGGCAGCGCTTTCCAAGAGCTAAGCGACAATGGCTGGCGGCGAGAATGTGCTCGTTATGTAAAAAGCAATACCATCGTTGCACGCTTATTCAAAATAGCTGGGAGATGTGGTTCCTCTCAATTGATGAGGAAACAGAGAGTCACAATTAAAGAGCAATGGCACTCCCGGAGTCTGCCAAATGTAGAACTGAAAATGTTCCTTGCAGCTACAAGCATGATTACAGCTTTTAAATCATTAATATATCTCTTAACCCCCAGTGAGCCTGAGCACAACCTTGGATGCCTGAGCATCTAGAGGCTAAATCAGGGCACCAGGCCAAACTGGACTCACAAAAAGGTGAAAAAGAAAGCCAACAGAAACTGATTATGATGCTTGGCTTTTCCAGAAATCAAAGCACTGCTGCATGCAGAGAGGTTAAATACAGTCTGTGTCAGTCAGATGTCAGCATTAGCCTTAAGGCGGCAAAGAAGCTAAAAATGAAACTTGAACTTACAAAGTCAAACCGCTGTCAAACACAATGCTGCAAGGAAATGTTTTTAAACATTAAACTGTTTAACTCTGTGTCGTAACAGTGACCACCTGTCCAGCTTTACACTCAAGTGCCCAACTTTTAACTTTAAGTGGACAGATGAAAGAGGGATGTGATGTAAACAAAGAAACATACAACCCAAAGGACGTGAAAACCATTACTATTTATGTGACAGGGTTGACCAGTGCAGGGGATGGTGAAGGGTTCAACTCAACTCTCAGGTCCAGCAGCTGATTCTTGATTTTGTTTTTAGGTGTTGTACCTTCTTTAACCTCAGCTGCATGCCCCGCTTATACTTAAAGGCCCTGCACACTCACATAGGTGTTTTCAGTCTCTCTGGCAAATCAGGTGGTAGTTGGCTAGAGCTGCGTTTGGAATTACGTGATGTGACCAAACTCTAGGAAGTGATATTGCATAAGGTTAATGGACTGCATTTATGCAGCGCTTTTATCATAAGTGCTGTACAGTGATAATTGTCCCACCATAACAGGTGCAACACAACATAACAGGAGACCGAGGGAGCTGTCAATCAAGCACAGTCTGTGCATGCCCATACAATCTCAGGCAGCATAAGTGAAAACACCTGCGTGGGTCAGCATTGGGTGTGTAGGGCCTTTAAAGTGAAAGCATGGAAAATAACTATATATCCATAGAAACTGCTTCTCCGTGATTATCCACTTCTGCACTGTCATCACTGTGGTTTTTATTAGTGCAAGACAATAATACAGTCAGTAGGCAATTTGAGGACAGATGCCATTCCTCTTGTTAGCAAAATGACCAAAATGCAACCCCCTTGTTAACCTGCCCCCCATCCACCTCTTTGAAATGAAGCTAGAGGTCGACGTCTGCTGAAATACCTTTTTCTGTTAATCATATTTTATCACTCGTTTTTTTCCTCGACACTGGCCCAGGCGTTTTTGTGTAAAAATTCATAATTGATAAATTCCATGGCGCTGTCCATGGTGCTGAAGTGGCAGATGGATTTGTGATTGCACCTTTTTCTCTCACTCCCACCCTTCTGTCAGTTTTATCTTGTAACAATAATATAATGCAGGTTATATACTATATTGTAGCCTATATACTCTGTAGAGTAGTGTCACCTTCATGATCAAAGTGACCAAAAAGATCTTCACTCACAGAAGTCACAGATGAGGGAGAGGATCATAGAGACACACTACTGCCTGTAGTATTCCTATAATATTTCTGTGATCATTCAGTAGCGTCTGTGCTGCTGAAAATATTTCCCCAGACCCAGCCTTCTCTGCAAAAAGTCGAAAGATGACTACAGATATAGGTTTTTTTCTACAGGGTTAGGTTTTTTTTAGGTTTTTTTTAGAATGAATAAATCACTGACTGAATACGGTATAACATTAACATCACAGACTAAACGGAGAAGACAAGTGAAATACAAGAAAACATGATTGTAGGTTCATGGTCCACGCAAGCAGGAAATAAGACATGGGAGACAAAAGAACAAAAACAAATTTACCATGAGGTGGCACACCAAACACTCACGCCACACTGGTGAAGAATGGTTCCAGTGTTTCCGTCTCTGACCTCAATACAAAACCTTGTCGCATGAGTTTTTGTTATATAGCTTCCTGTTCTTTTATCTGGAATTTTACATTTCTTTTCACTTTGCCTTACCCGATATGATCTAGCCACAGAATCAGTCGTCTTTCACTTCTTATAACCTGTTCCTTCAGATGTGATGTTGTGTGATGGTTCCTTTTTTTGTTCACTATATTCTCCAGTCACATGAAATCACTCATGTGACAGGATGAGAGCAGAGCGCGTATCTTTCATCAAGACAGAGACTGAGATTATGACTTGTTCTGCATTGGCTGAACTCTCTCACACACCACCACAGAAATGCTCAATCACACATACAAATACACACACACCCACATGCACACAGAGGCTAGGAAATAGTCTTCCGACCACTCAAAGCACTTTTACACTACATGCCACATTCACACCAAAGACACAGCATTTGGGGTTTAGTATCTTGCTCAAGGTTTAGTATCTTGCTCAAGGACACTTTAACATGAGGGGATCGAACCACCAAGCTTCTGATTAGTGCACAACTCGCTCTACCTCCTGAGCCACAGCCGCCCCAAGTGTGTGTTGCTCCCCACAGCCGAGAGTCATTTATTTGAAGTAGCAGGTTGTCTGTGTCTTAAATGCACAGCTTAAAATAGTCACTCCACAGTAGCTAATGAAAAGCATGGGACCCCATTATTGTGCCCCAGAGGGCTTAACACACATATTCTGAGAGTGTGTGTGTGTGTGTGTATCTATATGGAAATCTTTCATATATTGCTGCCACAATGTATTACCATATATGTGCATACATACTTTATGTGTTTTCTGCATCTATCCAGGACATAAGGAAGCAGGAGTGGACGGCCATCATTCCCAACTCTCAGCTCATCGTCATCCCCTTCCCACACAATAAGCCCCGCAGGTACATGAACACAATGTATAGTACTGTATAGATTCATCGTAATTGCTCGCTTTCCTTGTTCACAGCAGTGTCATTTGCTGGGTGACCCGTTGACGCTTGTTGCCATGGATACAATTCAACGCTTTAACAGCCTCATCTGATGCCACTTAACAACATATTCAAGTTAATGTAACCTCAGCTCAATATAGATAGTATCCAGCCCCCTCGCAGGATGTCTTCTCATGTTATCATGATGTTGTTCACATGAAGCTCAAACCCCAGGAGGAGCCACAGATGGCTATATATAACAAACATACATACACACACACACACACACACATACACCCTCCTCCACATAGCCACATAACATTTGTGTTCTCACCAGGCTTGCCAGACATGCCAGTACACACACACACACACACACACACACACACATACACACACACCTACATACACACCATGGCTGATATGAGATCTAACTAGAAAATAAAACAAACAGGTGCCTGGGTATTCTTCTCACATAGAATCTAAACTAACAGACTGCAAGATGGTTAATTAAATATATCAAAGTGGTTGGATTGCTGGAAATGCATAAAAGTTCTTGGAAACCAGAAACAGAGCAGTGCTTCATTCTGTTCAGCAGGGACGAGAAAGTGAAAGAGATGTTCATTTATTTATTTTAACTTAATTAGGACACGGTCTCTGCTAATGTCTACCATTTGCTAATTACATTGTTTTTCTGTCAGATAAAACTATGATGAAACGTAAAACAGCATATGGCAAGTCTTCAGTCTCTCTCTCTCTCTCTCTCTCTCTCTTTAGTTGGAGCGCTAAGTTGTACCTGACTCCAAGCAACAGCGTGTTGCTGACGGCCATCGCGCTGATCGGAGTGTGCGTCTTCATCCTCGTCATTATTGGGATCCTCCACTGGCAAGAGAAGGTCAGGACACACACGCACACACACAAACATACAATGGTGTAGTTAACATTGGCCTCTTCCTGGTGATTTACTGCTTGTGAGTGTGAGTGTGAGTGTGTAAGAGAGAGAGAGCAGATTGGTCACAACCAGCAGCAGATGGGTCTCACTGTCCCTGTCCTGTAGTCCTCTAGCCTCCCACTGAGACACACATGCACTCTCTCTCTCTCTCTCTCTCTTTCTCCGTCTTTCTATCTCTCTCTTTCCCTGGTCCACAACCTGGAAGGACTTTCAGCTGTAATTGCCTGCTTCTGTCCTTTCAGCATGGCAGATCATGTTCATTACTGCCGCAAATATCCCCTCCAGGGAGTCGATGCATGTTTTCACATGTGTTTTGTGTTTCAGCTCCTCTTGGTCCGGTTGTTGGTTCAGTCCACACACACACACACACACACACACACACACATAACAGAAGTGTACCCAGACATATCATGGTCGAGCTCACACAGTGACAAATATAATTTAACAGTAATTCTCACAAATGTACTTTTTTTTTCATGTTCCTTGATTTGTTTCCTTTTTATGTACACACACTGTGGTAATGCTGTCTGCCGGGCTGAGCAGTGCAGGAAGTTGCTGGCATCTTCTCCAAGCCATCTGCCGTGTGTGTGTGTGTGTGTGTGTGTGTGTGTGTGTGTGTAGGTGTGTGTAGGTGTGTGTGTACACGCAGGATGGCATGTGTGCATGGCTACACACAGACACGCTCTAATTGCCCTCTTTTTGGGATACGTGGGCGTGAGCTTCATCTGAACCGACACTGCATTTGAAAAAAACATGGCTGGTGCCGGATTCGAGCGTCTACGTACACCTAGCAGGCTTAGGTGGATGGGAGGAGATATGCGAGGGGTTGAAGGTCATGTGGAGATGTAAGGGTTGGGAAACAAGAAGAGTAAGACAAATGCCCATTAAAGAAAATGTCACAATTGCAGCAGCTGGCAGTATATCATGAAATCAAATCTGACATGTTCACACAGGCAAAGAAGCAAGGTTTTTGGCTTTGATTTCTGTAATGTGCTGAGGCTGACCAGTCAAAGTTATCCATTATTGCCATTACTTACCCAATACAGACAATACAGTATTCTTGCCACTTTGATTGCCTAGTTTATCTTTAACTTTTATCCTCAATGTTCCTCATCATAGAAACACACTTCTGAATAGCTTGATGATGCTATAGAGTTATCTCAAGGCCAGTGGTTATTATTAGTTATTTCATTTTATACAATACCCAGGAGCCCCTGCTGCTATGGAACAGAAGCCAGTCAGAAGTTTAGTCAAAGCTGAAGCAAATTCATAATGATTTGTTTTGGCAACTCAGAACAAAATAAATGTTCTACACTCACTGAATATACATTTAACATTGAACTGGGTTTCTACTAAACATAATCCCACAGTATTTTAAGTTCAATGTCCATACCGAAATGCTCCCCATAGTTGACTTCTGTCTTTACCTTTTGGCTACACAGACTTTTGGCTGTTTTCAGTTCATCAACTTTTATGGTCTCATGTCCATCCATGTCATGGAAGTTTTCTACACCTCTGCAGAAAAATGACTTACTTACAGAACCTTGGGCTCCCAAAAAAACTCTGTAACTGCAAACAAATCCCCTGAAATGGACCTAAACAGTCAGTCTGAAGAGGTCAAAACTCCAACACTTTGTTTTAAAAAAAAAAAAAAAAAAAAAAAGATTCACACATGGATGGGTTTAGCATGGCCATGCGGTTTAAGGTCAACAAGAAGCAATGAGTGCTTCCACCCCAGTGCATGGAGGGAAGCTGGTATAAGAGAGGTCTTTACACAAACTGTGCCTGTGTACAAGTGTGACATACTATGAAAACGCTTTGCAAAGGGCTTTATATACTAATTGAAAGTGTCTAAAATATATTAAAGCTATGATAAAAATAGAAGCAGTCATGAGAGACATTATAAAAAACATATAATAGGGATTTATAAAAGTTAAAGGACTTACAGATGACAGTTTTAAGAGCTTATTTGAGAAATCTTCCATCCATGCTTCCTGGAAACAAAACTTTTGAGGTACAAAAAATCCAGAAGGCTTCTCTCTTTATTTCTGGGGAAAGAGAGAGCTGAGCTGGGCTTAATCACTTTTATGCCTATAAAATGCAATGATGAATTAGTTCATGGATTAGTTACGTCATTCCTCTTAATAGAGATCCCTTGTTCTGTGATCTGCTCTTTAGGAGAATGTGATGTTTCACCACATGGGCACTATATCTCATGCAAATATTAACGTTTTTAGTTTTACATGTAATAAAATCCATAACGATGATGCTTTTCTCATTACTTCCATTACTTGTTTACTGCCACTTTATTAAGTTATACAACACAATTTCTAACTATAAATCAGAACTTTGCCATTTCTAATTCAATCAGTCAAACAGTGTTGGTGTAAAACTGCAGGGTTGACAAACTGTGTCACCCTACTGCAGCACTGCGTTCAGACTGACAGCTTTTGAAAACACAACCAAATTGATTGAATCTGGAATACTCGGCTGGCCTTAATAATTGAAGGACAGACACTGCACTGACAGGCTAATGTGGTGTAACCTCCTGCACCATCCAGGGAATTAAGATCGAGGGTGAATCCTATATACCGTCCGCTAACATCCTCCCTCATATCTCATCTTCACCCACCTCTTTCACAGCGGGGCATCCAGTAAGGTCAGGGCGAGCCCGCTGATTGACATTTGGCATTTCTGTGTGTTTGCGCTGCTGCCTCTGGTATTTGCTCTTCTAATAACAAAGTCAGGTAGAGGGCAGAAGCACAGGGGCAAAGACGTGCTGTCCTGCCTGACAAGCTAACAGGGCTTTTACACAAGTCCTGTGAACTTCTGTGCAATACAATATTAGCTGGGGTAATGGATATTAACCATATCGATATTAATATTAAGTTGGAAAGGAAATGAAAGGAACAGAGTATTTAAATAATACAGATGGGAAAACTTGAAATGAAGCAGAATGTAATCAATCTCCTCACCTTAGACCCATCATCTTCATGCAGGACATTTAGACCAGACTTAATTAGTTGACATCAAAGTCCAGTGAGACTACACCATGCCTCACTGTAGCTTTCCACCTGCTTTTAGACACAGACGCACCACTGTGTCATTAAAACCTTCGGATGGACACAAATCAATGCTCTGCTGCTTAATGATGATTCAGGCCTCAGGATGACAATTTGGTGCTATCCCCTGGATAGTCAATTAGACCAGGCTTCAGCAGTAGCACAGCCCAGTGGATCGGTTATCCAAAGGAAAGAACATCACATCAATCCATCTGCTCCTTAAAAATATGTTGCTCTAAAAAATAAAAATAAAAGCACAACATCAATCAATATGAGGCACTAGTATCTTGGAAGATTGATGAAGGCTTTATTACAAATCAGAACTGACGGGATAAAAAAATGCAGTAAATGTGTTTCTGCCTATCTTTTGGGTGCAGCAAATTAGTCAACATCAGTGAAGGATTGGCTGTCCTTCAAAAGGGGACAGTTCTCTCAAAAAGTCTCTCTAATGTACTGAGATTGGGTTCAGTCCTTTCCATACAAAAACATGAGCTGCTCCACTGCAACATTTAGACAAAGTGTTGAGGGAATGACAGAAGAGACGGTTCCATTCAGATACTTTAAAATTGATGCCTATTTTCTCCCCATCCTCAGTTCATCACTGATCTCCCAGAAGTGATCTAAATGCATTATTGACTGCACTGTCACCAGTCCAGATGATATGGGATCAGTTTTTTCTTTTGTGCTCAACTACTGACAAATGGCAAAAAGTATGATGACATGCTTCGCTGCTTTAATCCTGGGCCCCATCAAACCTTATTACAATGTATTGCCATATAAATTGAGCTATTATGAAGTTATCACGAAATTTGACCCTTAAAGTGATATTCCAAGCAAAATCTATCTTTTGAGCATTAAATACTAACACCCTGAAGGCTTGGAAGTGAATTTACTTAAATATTGATTTTAAAGATCCCCTCCAGACATTTAGTTAGACATATATAAAAATAGCCTGACCAGGACTGACTTCCAAACTATTTGTGATGTCACAAATCATCCTCACAGGCCCCGCCCCTTAAAATCAGATGTTCAGTGAGCACAGAGAAACACTCATTCAAACACTTACAGCAGATGAATGTGAAAACATCCTTCTAGTGTCAGACTCTGCACTGACAGCATTCAAACAGCACACTGTAGGGACAAGAAGAACAACAGATTTTGAGTGGAGGGGAACTTTAAGTACCATTGTGAGGTACTTGTACATTACTTGAGAATTTCCTTTTCATGCTACTTTTTACATCTACTCTACCACACTTCTGAGGAACATAATGTACTTTTTACTCCACTACATTTATTTGACTCTGCAGATTAAGATTTTTCTTACATTTACAGCTAAACTTTGATGCAGTTTTAGATAAAACTAGGGATACAAAGATGGTCAAATTAGTCTTTCTTAAAACTATTCCTACTATCCATACTGCACATGAAGATCCCCCTTCCAATGTGATTCCAATGTAAGATGGAGGACAAAATACTCAGTCCTCCTCCTGGGGAAAAATGCAAAGTTCAGCCAAAGCTAATATGAGTGTCTAGCAGTCTGAGTTAGTCAAATCAAATGAGGATCTTCCAAAGTTACAATATTTATAGTACAAAATTCCCTCTTTGAGTTACTGTCCCTCCACTGCAGCTCAGCAAGGAAACGTTGTCTGAGGGAACAAGAGAATCTTTTACTGAAATGACTATAAGATACCCACCAGGTTTGATTAACTGAATCAAATCATCAGTGAAGTCTCGAACTTCTTCAAGTGAACTTTGAGATGCATTTTTACTTACTACTTTACTGGCTGTTCTCTTTGCAGTTGTGTTAAATGTATGAGGAATCAATAAGGGAATTGAAAAAAGAATCAGACAGATAAGCAGAATCAATAATGGTATTGCTATCATTAAATCTTATCAATTCCCATTCCCAGTGCTGAAGCTAGCTTCTAATTATCTAATACTTCATTTTTAAAATTGCATTTTATCTCGTACAACTTGGGTTTTGATGACATTTTGCACATCTGTCAGCTTGTTCTCAGCTTAGCTCTTACGCTGCTGCCGCTGCCTCCAGCCATCACACCTGCCTGTGTGTCTCAATGCCCAGATGATGATAATAGACTGTTTGCTATAAATAAACACGTATTATCCTTTTATAAACCCTTATCCTTGGAAGGGCTTTTCATATTCACATAAGGACAGAAGCTGTGTGAGTGAGAGTGTTCGTGTTTGCATTGTTTTACAATTTCTCCTGAGAATGTGTTTGAAAAAGGATTTTCCAAGATAATAATTGAGGTGACTTTATTTACTACCTGTGACTCTGTAATTGAATATTAAAAGGTTAACTTCCCAACTAGAAGTCTAATTGAACACTTGCTACATCTGTTCTCTTGTGGTTTTTAAAATTTGACTACAACTTTCACCATATTTTATTTTCTGTTCATCTCTCTTACATGTTCACTAAAGTACTAATCGCTGTCTGGATTTTTTGCTTTCTTATAAATTAATACAAAACCGACATTAATCCTGCACTGATTCCTACTAACAGCGACGAGAAAGATAGCCAACTGTAAAGCTATCCACAGCTCTTTTATCATATGTTAGCATTAGCATTACATTAGCCTCCCAATTAATAATTGTCAGCATGCTGGCCTTTTGCTGCTTCTTGATTTCAGTTGGATTGAGGATGCATTTAGTCCATGCATTGCTTACATCTTCCTTCAAAGAACTGGTAACGTTAGCTAATATTTCAGGCAGATGTGGCACTATGGAAAATAAAAGAGGATACTGTTCTACCAACCAGAAGCTACAGTGTATGAGTTTTCTGATGCATGCAGGTTGTTGAATCAGACTTCATAGTTCATTTTTTGTTATTATTTGTCACAGTTTTTGTTTACAAAATGGTAACACTGGTACACACAGACGTAGTGGTACTACAAAATCCATTCATGTCCTATGTATTCGTCTTTTTGACTGTATATGTTTCTCTGTGTGTTCAGAAAGCAGACGACCGAGAGAAGAGGCAAGAAGCCCACCGTTTCCATTTCGACGCCATGTGATAGAAGAGACTTGCATCATGGGAGAACATCTCCTGTCCTCCTCCGCCCACCCCCTTACCCCCCTCCCCTCTTAACACACATATTTTCACTCAGACTCATTTCAAGGGCCAATAAACGGATCCTCATTTGCCCCAAAATGTTTCTTTTTGATATTCTTCAGTCCTCCAGTCAGATGTGAAATATTTATGTTCCATTTCATTAATTCATTCCAGTGTTAGAAGTACAGGAGCTGCAACAAGGCCATGGAGACACAGAGAGAAATCCTAATGGAGATCAAGTTTAAAGCAGGGATTTCTTTGGACTGGCTGTAGTCGGCAGTATGATCATCAGTGGTGTTATTAGACTATTAGTTTGACAAAATGACAGATTTGTGTTGAAACAGCCAACAAATTACTCCAATATTGTAAGCTGTTTGTTGAATAACTGGAAGGGAAGCACCTTTGGCACCAAGTGTTGTGTGTAATGTTACTTGAAATCCATGTCTGCGTTACTGTATGGTCTTTTGATTCACTTCTGTCTTTTGCATTTGATTGGGATATTGTAAAGACCTCCTTCAGATTTTATTACCTGTGAAATTAAACTGAGATGTATTCTGTGATATCAGTCTCGGCCTTGAAACTGCAGCAGTAACTGGTGCAAAGTGAACAAAAACGGACACAATAATTGTGTGGAACATTTTTCTGCTACCAATCTCCCCCAAAGAATGATGAATGGCCTTCAGGTCTGCTGAGTGCAAATTAATCTTTTCCTCTGTCTATCGTTTCACAGTGCATCATGGCAGTGCCAAAAAGAAAGTTTCTATGTTGCATCCTGCTAATGCTACTGCTTAAAGGCTCAGCAGATAGAAACTGCTGCTGAATGAGACACACGTTACTCCAGCTTCTTCACAGATATAGTTTTAATTTCTGTTGTCTTTTTGTAAGTTGATCAGGCCAAGCGCTCTGGTGTGTTCAGATATTTATTTTACAGGAAGGAGCTCATGCCAAGTGTTTTGCACTTTTTAACTAATGATTAACTGCGGGTGTATGTAATTTATTTTGTTTTGTGGATTTGATTTTGCAAATGAATGTTAAAGCTACTACATGTGTTTACTTACTGAGGTTAAGAATAAAGGTTTCTCTGGCTTAAATCAACTCTGGGTTGCTTCATTTGTGTATTATTAGACTTTTTCGTGTTGCACTCTCCTTAAATCTGCTGGTGAAATAAATAGATACATATTAATGTCCCAAACCTGTAATTCACCACTTGTAAGTATCCTTCCCCTGAAACTCCTTTCTAAGAACATCTTTTGTTTATTTTGTTGCTCATTATCTAAATTTGTCCTGAGTAAAGCAGCAGTGAAATTAAACTGCCTTTAATTTTCCAGAGGACCCCTGGAGGCCCCTTTTTTGAGTACCCCTCTGGACCAGCACCCCACTTCAGGAGTCACCCTGCTAAATAATGCATGGAGAGAATAAACCTTCGTCTGCATGGCAAATGAGACTAAGACTGTTGCAAGCACGGTAGCCTTTAAGCACATTACAACTGATGCAAAGCATGGTGGGAGACTTAACATACAGTATTGATAGTCAGTAGCTGTGTGTGTGTGTGTGTGTGTGTGTGTGTGTGTGTGTGTGAGAGAGAGAGAGAGAGAGAGAGAAAGAAAGAGAAAGAGTGTGTGTATGTGTGCTGCGGGGGAGAGGGGGAGTTCGAGCAAGGAGGAGGTGATGCACGCTACAAGATGTGTTAAGCTGTACAGAGAGTCAGAACAGCACCGGAAACGAAGTCATTTAGCATTAAAAAGTAAAAGCAGTGAAACGACAAAAAATGAGAAAATACTAGAGATGAGGTGCACAGAAAAGATTTGTCCAGTCATAACTAAAATGTCCAACCCATGCCAGCAGAACAAAGACTGATTCCTTGAGATAAGCTTAATCAAGCAGCACTTAAGATATCGTAATGTGCACAACCAGGGGAACTTGTTTATCACAAAACCGGGATGCAACCGGTGAAGCCAGCCCTCTATGTGTATATTAAGTGCCGTTGTAGCCTTATGCGTTAAGCCCATCTCTTCATTTGCAACGTGTCCAATCTTCCCCCGGCAATACTAACAAGACATATTTAGATAATAAGCCCCCTACCTATTTAAAATCCGCTTTCAGTAATACGATGCATGTTCCGTCTTTCTTTTCACTTCGTTTTTGTTTTTTGCTGCAACAAGTTCGCCGGCGAGATTTTATTTTGAAAGACGGGACCGGAAAAGATATTTCCTCATTGTGTCTACCTTGACCATGCTCACGACAAGCCACTCATTGATGTAAGCAGCGCCCACGGCTTAAATGAGCCTCGTTCGGGAGCATTTCATAGTTCAGACACGGACAGAGAGCAGACAGAGACGGACTCTCCTCCTCTTCCTCCTCCGTAGTCTCCCTCCATCTCTCTCTCACTCTCTTTCCTCTGTATCTCTCTATCCAGCATCCAGCCTCATGCGTCTTTTGGATACCTACCTCTCCTAGAGCGCGTCAGCCCCGCTGGATCAGTCCATCATCCTGCACATGTCACCCCCCACTGTGGTCCCCCTGGAAGCTGTATTTACAGTGATGATGATGATGATGCCTGGCTGAAAGGTTCGCAGCAGTGTTCATCCTCCAGCCACACGCAGCGGGATCGCCGACTGAAGAGGAGCTTGGTGCCGCTTCCCCCTCCTGGAGCGTGTCTCCGCGTAATGGATTTACTGTTGTCGGAGAAAAGTTGGATTCCGTGAAGAGCCCAGTGGAACCCTAACATGGGCAGAATAGGAGTGCGTTGTTAGAAAAGGTGCTTTTGGGTTGGAATCACACCGTGAGAGGAAATGCACAGAGGTGAGTTGCACGCAAGCTGCCCGAGCATCAGTGATGCGCGTCAAGGTCCAGCGCCTTGGGCAGACGGAATCGACTGTTTATTTGAAGCTTGGATGAAATGTATTTGCCTTTTTTTTTACATTCTCTTTTTCCAGCACAGTTGGTGTTTAATTTGCAGGGAGTGTGGGTTTCAACACATCCAAAGCAACTAGGGTGGCATGAAAGGATAAAACCCTCATGATGAATGTGCTCCGGGAGAGATAAAAATGTCCTTATATTATATTATTTTGATGTATTTCTCTCAAACTGAGACGCCATTCTGGTAAATAACTGCAAACTGACTCCTCTTTATACCGCTCTCTACCACATCTCCATTTCTGTCTCGTTTGTTTGTCTTTAGTACCAACTTACCCTCTTGTGACTGGTCATGGCAAATCTTCCTCCTCCTTTTTTTTATTTTTTTGTTTTTACTGCCCACATCGACATCGCCATTAACCACGGATTCACAATCCACCAATGCAAGTTTGGGCAGTGCGAGGTGTGCCTCCGTCCACGCAGCCTACGGGAGGGCAGTCTGATTGAGATTCACGAGTATAATGGACAGCAAAGGTCAAATACTAGTTGAAATCCATAAAGGGGCGAAAAAAACCAATCAGGGACCATTACGTGTTTCCAATAAGAGAACAGTTTGACAGTCTAAATGTATCTCACTGACATTAAAAGACAGGTAGAAAATGTCTGTCTCAAATACTATGTTGTGTCCGGTAATGTGGCCACAAAAAGAAGCGCTTTTTGGAGGTTTTGGTGGCATTTTTCTTTAAATAATATGAAACATTTTGTTTTGTGGTTAAACCAGACAGCAGCTTGTACTACTACACACTACTCACAACAGGGCTACTTCCCCTCCGCGGTGAAGGGAGCTCTCCAAGTTCAGAGCCAGACACGTCCGCTGCCCCGCGCACGCTGTAGCCTTTGCGCGTGCTGCTGCTCCTGTGAGTCCAGCTCCAGCCGCCGTCTCGCGCCATCAGCACCTGAGGCGCGCGCCGCAGCACACGGCTGTAACACCTCCTCTTGATGCGTTCAGTGAAGCGGTCTCGATGCCGCGGTGCGGGCAGTTTACTGCAGTAGATTTGTGGTTTAACAGGTAAATATCTGTAAATTGTGTGTTCGTAAAGCTTTAGCGACTGTTTAAGTGCAGAGTTAACTGTTAATGGGGTTTCTGTTCAGCCTAATTAATATAGTGTAATTGTAGTGAGCTCTTAAGTGGCATCAGTGCAGCCTACTTTTAGGCTATGACTTGTTAATACCACAATGCCTCAGTTTACTCCACGAACAATCACTGAATCTTTAAATGGACTGGGATTATGAACCCTTACCTCAGTAGGCAAACTATAAGATAAATTAGTAAATTAACTATAAAGTCTGGTAGCTTATTTGTAGCTTGTAATTTACGTGGGTTTTACGCAAAGCTTTCTCCTTTAAGGAACCCCTTTTGTAAACTATTAAACTGATAAACTATTGACAGATTTTATGGATCTTTCATATTATAGTCAACAATATAAGTTATACACTGATAAACTGAACAGAACAACTGATAAACTGAACAATGAAACCAAATAGTGAACACAATAGCTGCAGGACCTTTGTGTAAAACCAGCACTTTATATTAATTTGGAGCAGATTATTTCCTTTAAATATGAGTTTTATTGATATTTTATACATTCTGCCTGGATTATGTATTTTTTATTTTTTTTAACAATCCTACATACTATCAATCTAAACTATTTAAACTTAAAGAAAAATACATTTTAATTTAGTTTTCTTCGCAGATATGAACAAAATGCTGAGATAAAGGCCTAATGTATATTTTTTAAAGATGTCTTACACCCCTTAAAATCAAGAAGGCCTCATGACCCCAGTGAAGCTTTGGCGGCCTCTAGTGGGTGTCCTGACCCCAGGTTTGGTAACACCGATTTACGTCATAGCCCATAGACCTAGTTTAGGCCATAGTTCCTTATTCAGACAGTCCACATTATCAGCTTTTACATCACTTCCAATCATTGTTTAGTCCTGTCTTACAGAAATGTTTTTTGGGTAACGCTTAGACAATTTCTAGAGAAAAAACAGACCTATCCAAACCAAACAGATTACAGCCTTGACTCGTTGAACCCTCTGTAATGTTTCATCTATTCTTTAAAATGATTTAAAGCATGAGGGTGCCTTCAAATCTCGGAAATATTTCTCTAAGGAACTTACAATGACCCAACTATCATTCATCACCAATTTTTATACACGTTCACGAGTTGTTCTCTTGGTGTTAAAGTGGCAATGGCTGCAACTCTGTTTAGCTTGTGATTTATTTATGATGTTACAAAAGATGTTACAAATGTCTACATGAATTATGTAACGTTTGCCTAATAAGTTAATTTAAATATTTATAGCCTGATAAACATTTCTGCCGCTGCAGTTCATGGAGGCTTTTTGGCTTTAACTCTTACAGGTAAAACAAGCGTTGTCTGGTTTGTTAATATTTCCTGCCTAAAGTCCTTGAATGGATGACGATATTACCAGCTTCACTGAGGGCAGCAACAGTTTACAGTGTTCCTGCTATCTATAGCTAAGATTTATTGACCGGATGGTGAGAGCATCTTTCTGTTTTTTGGTTCTTGACTTTGGGTGGTCTGTTGCCTAAATGTGCCTGTGGTAGTTCATACTCCAACCTACAATACTTCATTGCAAGATAATGTAGAAACCCAGAGCCTGGGGTCCGTGTGTCTGTGTGCATTTGGAAATAAGTCCATTCAAACATGCATACTCATCCGAGTAGTTGTGTTCACTGCTTATGTTAACCATGCATTCTTCCTCATTAGACCCCCACCCCCCTCTCTCTTTCTCTCTCTCTCTCTCTCTCTCTCTCTCTCTCTCTCTGTCTTCCATCCTTCCTTCCTGGGTGCCATTATGCAACGTGCCAGGCTCTCGCTCGCTCTCTAATTCGATGTGAGTGGGCCAACCTATTATGAACTCAGTGGGGATCAGGTCTACAGCGGCTTATCAGAGCAAGGCAGTGTCAGAAGCTGTAACGTGCTCGCCCTCGGTGCAGATATCATTGTAATAAAACATATTTCACCTATTGTCTGTAGCCGTGCTCTGCCCAAATGCCTGTCTTCTCATCAGCGCTGTAAGCCTCGGAGCCAGTAATCCTGTTTTTTCTGCTAATGCTTTATGTTTCTGGCGCCTAGAGGCTCTAGATTAGTAGGTTAGAGTGTCGTGGTTTTGATGAGAGTTGATGGTTTGAAACTATCTTTAATGAACTTCTACTTGCTGCTCCTGCTACTACTGCTATTCCCATTATGCTTTCCATTTCCCACTGTACAGCTACTGTTCTACTACTTCCAATAATCTTGCCATATCCACGACTAGTAGTACTACTTCTGCACATACTCATTCTGGTGACACCACGAGTGGTAATTTTATCAGCTGTCTCTAATCTACTATCTACTAACTATTGCAAGTGTCTCTGCAGGGATTGTTCCCCAGCAACCATTGTACAATTTACAGAAACAATTACATGAGACTATATTGCTTATCTTAGAAACATTTTACCACTGATGCTACTAAAGTTAACAAAGCTACCCTTAACCACTTTAACACTAGTATGTATCAGCAAGCTTCTATAACCAAAATTACCACTAGCACACTTTAATGCCACTGCTAATACTATTGCTTCTAGTGTTGTGCCTCTACTGCTACATTTCGCTCTTCTGCAAGAATCTGTGGAATTAGTCCATGTAGAGCACGGATGCACGCAGAAATCTTTAGGGGCAGGGGCTTAAGCAAACAAAAGGAGCACTCACCCCAACTACAGATTCTCTATTCCGACCCTGGCGTTGCCACACCGCCATTCATAGGGACACTATTCACAACATGCCATGTTCAAACATTTTATTACTTTGAGAAACCACAAATATGATATTTTTTTACATTTTTAAGTTGTCTACATGTGCAGTCAAATTAGATCAATAGCAGCTGTGTAGAGTTAATGAATGAGAAAATCAACTATCGTTTATCCGATCAATCATTTTAGTTTTTTCTGCTCATGTGAAAGTAAACTTGACATTTTTGGGGAGAAAGTTTTGAAGATGTTTTAAGAAAAAGGAAAGCATTTTTGCACTGTTTCCTGACATTTTATAGACTCACAATTAATCAGTCAAGAAAACAGGCAAACTCGTGAATAGTGAAAAAAGTGATTTGTGTCCTAGTTCAGTATGAGTTTGGGAGTACAGAGCCAAAATAAAGAAATGATAATAACTCATAAATGTTTGTTGAAAAGAACAGGCTGTCTGAATGTTTGCTTTTACTTCATTAACCATTTGGTACATGTAGGCGTATGGCAAACCGTCTGTACCCAATGTGTTCAAAGTTAGAAATGTTAACAGCTATACGTGTTTAATTCTCATTATCTGTCAGTCTTTCCAGTTCCATCATTTACAAGATGATTCACCACTAAATGTCTCTGCGATATTTCCCCAGCATTGCCCCTTCATGAATGCTTTGTATTGACAATGATATGATTATTGAATTTCCTCAAGGGGATACATAAAGTAATTTTTCATTATCTTCATTATATCCTGAACATGCACTAGTATTAAGACATGCCTACACTGATATATAACATATGATTATCCTTTCTCACAGCTCTCCTCATCCTTTCTCAGCTATATTTCGTTTTTAAATGTAACAATTCAATCAGGGATATACTTAAACAATGTATTGATCTATATGTTATTCTCTATTCATAAAGGTTAGGTGAAATCAATGCTGCAGCTGATCACACACTTATTCTGTCGCTGTTTAGTGATTTCCATTTTGAACACAAATGCAGCATTATGCCACCTGTGACCAATTTATTATATCTGTGTTTTGCAGCGTGGATACTCTTCTTTCTAATAGAAGAGGGTTTCGCTCTGGCACAGAGAAGTAAAGGTAAGCTAGAGCCCAAATGCTCTCCTGTTCTGTGAATGTTGCGTCACCCGTATTGAAGCCATCTGAAAGAGGGAGGAATTATCTCTACTTGTATCATAAAACAAAAGTGTTATTTTCCTCCCTCTTTATTCCCCACCTGCTTTTTCCTTTTGTCGCTCCTTTCGATCTCCCTGACTTCCAATCATTCACTCATTGATCCCCCGACTCAATAACCCATCTGTTCATCTGTTCTCTGCCTTTCTTGCTTTAAGATTCCCCAAGCGAGCATGGCGGCCAGAGCCCTAACCAGAACGACTGTGGCACGTGGGTCCGCAACATCAATGGCGGCGTGTTCACATCGCCCAATTACCCCACCACCTACCCGCCCAACAAAGAGTGCGTTTACATCCTGGAAGGTAAGGCAGGGTCTTTTCCCCTCTTCATCTTCTGCTCGGTAGCTTTTGTCATCAGAGCAGCTGACACGGTTTCCCGCCTTTCAGCATATTGCCTCCTCTAGTGAATGTCATTAGTCTGACTGACATTGTTTTATATAACCTCACCCCTATCTGATTTTCTGTTCCTTTGCTGGTGGGCAATCAGCCTGACATTTTCCGAATGAGCCATCCGGAGTTTGTTTCACCCCACAGATATAACCCTTTGAAAAAGATGGAGAGTGGCGCATCGTGGGTAGCCCCTGACTTGTGGCCTAATCAGAGTAGTGCTGTGTTCATCTCTATTGGCAGGGTGTGCCAGAAGACTATGCTATATAATGAAACATAAAAGAGATGAACATCTGCTACACAACTGAGCTTTGGTGGCTATATCGCTGAATTGCAGGCGTCCTTGTCAACACCTTAGCTTTTACCAGAAATATCACATCCATCAGTAATCTGGTGGCCTGCCGCACAGCAGACATAATGGAAAGCATCATTAGCAGCTATAGGAGATGAGGTCTGGAATATTGGATGATGTGTTTTCATACTGAATTGATGAACTGTTTGTCCGTGAAGTACTACAGCCTTTCATGCAGATGAGACTTGTGCTTGGTTCTTCTCTTGCTGTGGTGGGGAATACATTTTACACATGGCTCAAGGGCTCCCCCTGTGGACAAATTGAGCCCAGAGCTATTTTTGATGAATAAGCCGTGACTCTATCACATACAGCCTACTGGTGTGTGCAGAAGTGCATCGCAGTGGGTCTGAGAAGCGACAGATGGAACCTATCATTTGCTATTATTTGGTCTTGAATGGCCTTAGTCATATTCATAAATGAGCTCCAGTGTTGAGCCTTTCATTCTGCCTCTCACAGAGACAGAATGCTAACGTTTGGCATAAGTGCTAATCAGATAGCTTTGTAATTATAATTTCTGGTTAGTGAGGCTCATTGATTATGTCATGTCCCCCAGTTCATCAGCTCAATAGATCGAGTGATTATACTTTCTGCTCTTTCTGTATCAAGCTGTGTGTGTGTGTGTGTGTGTGTGTGTGTGTGTGTGTGTGTGTGTGTGTGTGTGTGAGTGTGTGTGTGTGTGTGTGAGGGAGATAGAAAGTTATAGAGTGAATGAGACCCAGCACACCAGGGAATGAACACACCGATAACAGGAAGTGCAGGCATACAAGCCACTCGTTCGAGCAGAAAGAGAGAGCATTCAGGCTCAAATTCAAAGACAAGAACAGAGACACAAATTCACACAGAATCTTCTGTGTTATTCTATTTCAGTTGCACACTGTACCATAAACATGTACCACCGTTGACCTTGCTCTTTTTTCCCTAATGGAGCATACTTGGCTTCTCCATCCAGAGATGATTCAGAGCCCCACCTCCCACCCTCAGCATCTTTATTCTGTATGATTCATCCTCTAAGGCAGGCATGAATTGCCCTCATTAAATTCTGTGTGGGGGGTAATGTTATTAAAGAGTTCTGTCCATTCAATATATAGATATACTCTGGATTTGCATGACACATGAACCTTTGAACTACAGCTCATGCTGTGATTGCAGTGTTCTGGATTTACTGACTCAGAGACAGCAATGCTGACATGTCAGACTGTATCTCTGCTTGTGTATGCTTGTGTGTAAATGTGTGTGTATATATATCCATGTGAATTGTGTGTGCAACTGTGTGTTGAATGTGTGCATATGGGAATATGCCCCTTTGTGTTTATGGTTAAAAGAAAATTGTAGTGAGCATTTATCTTGTTCTTTTCTCTCATGCTTTATGCATGCATAGTTCATACATGCAGAAATGAGCTTATAATGCTGTTTACCACAACTGGAAAGCACAAACCAAAGTATAAACAGTTTAAGTGAACTAATTATGTTAAATGTGTATTTTAATCTGTGCAATCGTTTCTTTGTTCAGCTTTAGTAGAGCATCTAGGCAACATTTGGCTTGGAAGTTTAGGGTTGGGTTTATACAGCTTGCCCCTCCAATCATGGCTGTGTAGTTGAATTTGTGTTCAGAAAGTGCCACAATTAGTAATGGTTTGGAAGAATAAACAGACTCCTCATCTGTTGTCAATGCACAGATATAGCTTCTACAGCAAAAAAACATCTTAAGATGTATCAGTTTTGCAGCCTTTGAGAGGACAGAAAAGTCATCTTCCTTTATATTAATACTATTTAACTCAATGCTGTTCTTCAGCAGTGACATATATAAAATATCAAATATCACTCAATCATTGTGGCTTTCTCTATAAATGTAAATGTCATGTCTGATTAAAGATCTAAGGAACATTTAAAGTGAAAATCAGCAATGTCAGAATGATGAAAAGCCATCACTTTAACAGATAGATAAGGTCAGCAATGGTACATATTCCATGTCTGAAAAGGGCATTAGTTACCTACAGCAGCCTTCACATAAGTCTGAGCCAACTTCTAAAAAGTTTGCGCTCCACAGATCAGCTGAGGGGTTAGAAGCAACAGCCAAAACTTCAAAATCCAGATTAACTCATATCTGACTCTACTTTCAATTTATGCTTTAGAATAGCATTCAGAGTCATCCTTGCTCTTCAAAATCTAGATTTAATTTTATTCCTTTCATGGATTAACCCCTTTTGTTTCCTTTCTCTCCCTTGCTCCCTTGTTCACCAAAGCTCTCCCTAGACAAAGGATTCAGTTGGCTTTTGATAAGAATTACTACATTGAGCCATCATTTGAGTGCCGCTTCGATCACATCGAAATCCGTGATGGGCCATTTGGGTTCTCTCCACTCATTGATCGCTTCTGTGGGGGGAGAAACCCAGGCCTGGTTACATCGACGGGACGTTTCATGTGGATCAAGTTCACCAGCGACGAGGAGCTGGAAGGCCTTGGCTTCCGCATCCAGTACACCTTCATTGCAGGTAGGGAAACACAAAACTGCATATCTGCAGTGTCTGTAACTCCCTCAAACTCTTCTGTACACATGAAAGGTTTTTGCTAAGATGTGTAGAGAACTGGATCGATCTGGTTCGTTTGCTTTGACAAAGTCCCCCAAAACATAAAAGAGAATCTAATCTTAGTCTGTCAGAAAAGATAGCGTTCTTCCCTAAAACATAATTTTTCTGAGTTTACCATCTTGTTTATGTTGATTACCCATAAATAATGACATATGGGCGCATATGGACTCTCAAGGTGGTCTTTTCCACACATCATAGCCATCGTACCTTCACTTTTCTTGCTCTTCAGCAGATACACGATCAACATCAGAGCCTCCTGAGTCCAAACCCAATATGCCTAGAAATCAGTGTCTCTCATCAGACAGCAGATATGAACTTCAAACAGACCCCTTTCTGCTTTATCTGGCCTGCCTTAATGGGATCTTATCTTGTGTTTTCTGCTTACCTATTTCTGCTGTGTGGATTGAGAGTAATGTGCCTCCCAAATCTTATCGTTTCAGACCCTGATTTCCATCTGCACGTGGGCGGACTGCTAAACCCCATCCCAGGTAAGCTCTTCAGTATTTTGCTGGTTTGTGTTCGATCCTTTTTGAAGAGCTCCTCTGTGCTCAGAAGCTTACCGCAGGCTATCTCTGCCTCTGACGTGAATGCTGAATGCGCAAATGTACCTTGACAAGCACAAAATTGCACATAAAGTGAAAAGATGTTCATACAAAAACACGCACAAATTTAAACACACAAAGGAACACACACCTACCCTGCGCGTTCCTTCCTGCCTTTCTGCTTTTATTCCTGTGACTTCTTATTGTCCTTTATCCTAATCCGCTGTCCTCACTTCAATTCCATCTTAAATCCTTTACTTGTTTAAATAAAATCCATCTGTCTTTCTGTCTGTCCTGCTCTTCCACTCTTCCTACCCTTTTCCCTATTTATCTTCTGCTCTTTCTTCTCTCTCTATCTCGACACTTTTTTTTTGCTTGCGTCTCATGTTTCTCCATTTGACCCCTTTCTCACCTTGCCTGTCTTTGACCCTTTTTCCTTCTTCCTTTCCCTTTCTTTTTTCTTTCCTCTCCTCCACATTTTCTCTGTCTCTCTGCAGAATGTCAGTTTGAAATCGGCGGATGGGATGGGATTATTCGTTCCAGTCAGGTGGAGGAGGAAGAGAAAGTGAAGCCCGGTGACGCTCTGGACTGTATCTGGACAATCAAGGCTCCTCCTCAGTCTAAGGTCAGCACACAGGACCATATTAGCAGTCAGGAATGAAGACGTGCTTCTTCTATCCTGTCCTTCAACCCATGTTTGTTTCTTTCAAAATTAATTCAGAATATAAAATAGCTACAATGTAGGCTCTGGTCTATGCTACTGTTTGGGTGACTCATATTCAAAGCAAAAATATCTCTAATATATCTGACAAATGCACAGCTTAACTTAAAGTAGTTACAGCATAAAATATATAAACATCCTAAGATTTCAGAACTCATTAAAGTATACAAGGACTTTCATCATCTCTTGTATGTATGTATGAGAAATAATGATGCTCTGAATATAAACAGAACATAATTCTAAATAGTTGTGTGTACTATCATTCTGTTCAGTGTGTTCCCCATTTCTGTATTTGCTCTGGCACCTCACCTTCACAGGGTTTTCTATCTTAACATCAATATTAGTTTTATATTAGCTCTTTTGTATTGTAATAGCAAATGTGATGTCAATGCACAAATTCCAGTATCAACATGCGTAATGGATTTGTTCCCCACAAGTCTGTCTGGGGTTTTCCTGATTTAAATATTTTGTATGAATGCATATAGTAGAAGTTGTGTGCTCCAGTCACTGAGAACATATCCTCCAGTGTTTAGACTGTACTGTAAGTGTAATTTAATACACAATAATGGATATGAGTAGTGTAAACGCAAAGAGAGGCAATATGGGAAAGATCAATGCAGGCAAATTTTATTTATAAAACAAAGCCCCGGATATTCATTTTGAAGTACATTTTCAAGCCAAGAGTGAAAGCTCAGTGATGTGCACATGAGTTCTTATGAGTGGATATTCAAACCCCATTGAAATTAAAACCATAGCCCAGCTAGCCATGATTAATTGCTGCTCTGCTTCTCCCTCATGACTAAATGAGGCATCAGAAAGCTCCTATGCTATTCACTGGCCACAATATACTCACACACAAACTCATGCAAACACAAATTCATGCAAATCTAATTAAGTATAAAACAGCAGATGCACACATACCGTCACAAATTACATAATATAATTGTACATAGAGTACTGTAAGTAATCACCCATATTATACACTCATACTGTATCTATACAAAGTAATACTTTATGCATACACGTGTGAACATTCATGCATAACTCAAACATGCACAACCTAACACACACACACATTAGTCCCCACAGTCATTTCACTGGTCCTACATGTGCAGTGTGAGGCAACATTGATGAGGATCTGAATTTAGCAGCTGCACTGAGTTGCCAAGCCAGATATTAGCTCACTGAGGCAGGAGGAACAGTGGAGCACACTCAGCGGCAGTATGAGAGCAGCTACTTAACTGTCCATGGTCACAGGTGCCTGTGTGCTTAATGTGCTGAAGTTTCATCCAAGTTGTTGCCCCCCGTGTCCAAGATCTCATCATGTCATTACTGCTGATTTGACTTATTCACACAATTAAAAAGCATGTATTTTGCAATTACAGGTTGAAACTTAACACTACTATATGTTTAGGCTCACTAATGAGCTGCGTCTGGTCTCAGTGGCATTCATGTGATTTACAAAAGTGGACAGGTGCAAACTACAGGTTGTGTAATACATATTTTTCACAATAGACTTTTTGACATGTAAAAGTAGGAAAAGAACAGGTGTTATGGCTGATTTCCACTTAGCTGCATCAGTTTCAAAGTCCTGTTATTGTTCATGCTGTTTCATTGTCATACTGTCACAGCTTATAGCTTACAGAGCCATTGTTCATGTTATTAGTAACACCCGCTCTTTTCTGTCTATGACAAGCCAAAATGCTGTAACAAGTTAAGACGTTTGCTGTGAAATGGTATAATGGACCACCCAAGCATATATATAGTTTTATACTCTGAGGCCAGACTGTCTCATGTGGGGAGGAGGTTCAGCTCACTGGCGTCCAGTCCCTGCCGAGTTCCCTGAATTGACACACATCTTAAAGAAAAGAGGAGGGTGAGAGAGACAGAGCAGGCTGCACCATGACAGATTTCTTTAAAGGCTGACTTTTTTAAGTAGCCAGTTATCATTGTAAGAATGATGCATACTTACATTACAGCTTAGATTAGATTTATTTTTTTATTATTTGATTCTATTTCCCATTAATGCATCCTCTATCCATCTTCTAAACTGTTTATCCTCTTCCTGTACCAGCATGCTCTGGTGAAGAGGTGGGCAGGTCACCAATGTATCATAGGGTTCTTCTCTAATCTCTTTTATTCTATTCATTATCTGTATCTGAACGTTTTCTAGATACATTTGCTTGACTGATGTAATGCACATTTTGTATTTACCTTCATAAAGATTGCGTAGATTAAATAAAAGTTACTAATTATGATTAGCTGTGAGGTGGTGCTAGTTCATTTACCTCCACATTGATTTGAATATGTTGTGCATCTGCAGATCTACCTGCGCTTCATGGAGTACCAGATGGAACACTCTAATGAGTGCAAGAAGAACTTTGTGGCTGTGTACGATGGCAGCAGCGCCATCGAAAACCTCAAGGCCAAGTTCTGTAGCACCGTGGCCAATGATGTGATGCTGGATAATGGTGTCGGAGTGGTGAGAATGTGGGCTGATGAGAAGAGCCGTCTCAGCCGGTTCCGCATGCTCTTCACCTCTTTTGTTGACCGTGAGTGCCAGTCTTTCTGACAAAATAACTCCCCTGCCCTTTTCCATCTTCATTCCATCATTTCTGTTGCAGTATCTATTTTGTTCAGGCCATTCCTTCACAGGCTTGACACTGCACCATTACTTAGCACTTCAGTGTTCCCATTATGTGGCTCTCCTTAGCTCTATCCTCACTTTCTTGAGTGTCTCTTTGGTGTTTGATGGATTTTTAGCAATTTCTTTATCTGTTTGTCCTGTATTACATTCAGAATTGATCATTATGAAGAAAAGGGCCCAGTTATGTTTTTATTATTTAAATGAACACATCCAGTGACCGTAGTAGATCTGATTCCACATTTTTGTTGCAGTTTGGTCTGAATGTGTTCAGATGTAATGGAGATCACTTGAACACAAAACTCCTTTCCCAGTTTCCCTTATGACTGTGTAAGTCTCTGTTAAGGACTATGATGAAAGGCACCATATGTCATTACTTTACTGCAACAGCCACAACATTATCCACCCACACACACAAACAAAAACTGTTGATTTATGAGGTCCTGCATTTAGTCTATCAGTCGTAACTAATAGACACTGAAGTGTCATTTCAGCAAGGAAAGCTAATTACAGTGTGCTATGTTTAGAGCATAGATATGAGAAAACCAATTATTTACTCCAGCATTTGTGAATAACTGAAAGCATCAAATAATTTCTTGATATGCATGTCACAGCATGATTCTGTGCTTATTATAGGTCACTTCAACAGGAAAATAGGAATTTATCTATTTTGGCGAAAAGAAAAGCTGAGTGGGGTTAATGGATCTGCTGGAAGTAATTATATATAAAGCCTCATCATTTTTGAAGGACAAGAAACACCAAACAGCTGCTGTTAAAGGTTGCACATAATGTAGCAAGGATTGCCATGCAGGAAACATTATTTTCTGTTAGCACACCGTAATATTTTCATTAAATGCCTGAATAGACTGAGATATTAATTGCCACATTCTCCTGCACATTTCCAAACCCCTGGCTGAATGCTAATGTTGTTTTCATCAGCAAACCCATAACCATTGCAGTCAGAACTTAATGGCCTTTTAAATTCAGCAAGGATGGTTTTTTTTTACTCTGAGAGTCCTTAAGACCGTTTGGATCCTCATTAATTCTGATCACACAGTTCATCTCAGAGAAGTCTGAAGTCTCTTGAATAACTCCAAAACTTTATTTGGTCAGAGTCAGCGACTGAAGTTTACTTGGAGGTCAGAGGGAACCATTAATCTTTGTCACTCAGAGAACAAGATGAGTTTTGCCTTTTGCACTCCATCATCCTTAATGTGCTCTAATCTTCCGATAGAACCCCCTCTGATGTAAACCAGACATATTAAGACTTTAATAAATATATATACACATACACTCACAGTGCATACATTCAGACATGAGTTGTGTGTCTGTGTGTGTGTGTGTGTGTGTGTGTGTATGAAGGGAGGTCGTGGGGTAAGAGGGTGAAGCGTTGTTGACACACTGTTAAAGGCTACATTTTGAAGGCGTGAGGCGGATAATTGGTTTAGAAGTGATCACAGTGTCAGGGGAGCGACCCTGTCTACATGCTCACTAGGAGATAGAGGGATGGACACTCCAGCACAGACACACTATTTATACATACCCTTACACACACATATACATGTCTCTTTGTCAAAATGTATTTAACCCCAGAGGCAGAGGAAGCATGCAGGGAAAGGGAAGTAGAGGCTCAGAGCCCTCATCACAGTGGGGAGCAGGGGTGAAGCTGGTGGAGCGAGCCACACTCTGTTTCAGCTATGATAAAGAGAGTGTATCTGCAGCTACTAAAGCCTCTGTGTGTGTAGGTGTGGGTGTGCAACCGTTGGTTGTATAGAACAGGCATTCTCTGGCAATGATGCTTTCTTTGACACTGATAAAGAAAAAAAGGGTTTTTTGTGGTAGGTTTGTGTCTAACTTATATTGTAGACAGATGACTTCTCATATTATAATTTTAATATAATAATTTTAATGTAATGTTATTTCTGTCTACTCTGCACACACAACATCTATTGCATGTCTGTCGGTCCTGGAAGAGGGATTCCTTTTCTGTTGCTTTCCCTGAGATCTCTTCCATTTTCCCCTGCTTTTTAGCAGGACATTTTTTCTCATCGAAATGAGCCTAAGGATAGATGGCGTTGTATGCTGTACAAATTCTAAAGTCCTTTGCAGAAAATGTATGATTTAGAGCTATATAAATCAATAGTCTTGACTTTACTTGACTCAAAAGAATAAGGGAAAAAGGCTGTTCTTTAATCTTATATCTTGAATGATTGTTTTGTTGTTGTTGTTGTTGTTGTCAACAGTACAGAAACTGCCCTCCTGAAGGCAACCAACGACCTTCTTTTAGCAGCCGATAGGGGAGAGAGCACAATTTTAATCCTCTTAGATTTAAGTGCAGCCTTCGACACTGTTGATCATGCAATATTATTAGACCACCTGAAAACCGGGGTCGGCATCAAGGATACTGCTTTTAGCTGGTTTTATTCTTACCTTTTAGACAGAACCTTCTCGGTCACCACAGGTAATTATTCCTCAACTACAGCTCCAATTACCTGTGGTGTACCTGTGGTTCTATTTTAGGTCAGATTTTATTTTCTATTTATATGCTCCCACTTGGCCAGATTATTAAACACCATAATGTATTGTTCCATTGCTATGCAGACGACACACAAATATAAATATAAGATATTAACAGTTGGATGGCCCAAAATTTCTTACAGCTTAACAACACCAAAACAGAAATCATATTGTTCACCACCAAACAATATTAGTCATTATCAGCAAGCCCTTGGTCCCCTCTCGGGTCAACATAAAACCCACTGCAAGAAACCTAGGTGTACATTTTGACTCAGAGCTGACATTCATCCGTCATGTCAATAAACTGGTCCAGTCCTGCTTCTATCAGCTACACTCTGTTTCTAGAATAAAACACATGCTTACACCCCCCAATCTGGAAAAAGTAATTCACGCATTCATCTTTTCCAGACTAGATTACTGCAACTCCCTTCTCTCCGGCATAAATCAAAAATCACTCTCTCGCCTCCAACTGGTACAGAATTCAGCAGCTAGGCATCTAACTGGTTTTAACAGACGTCAACACATTACTCCAATATTAGCTTCCCTCTGTTGGCTCCCTGTCTGTTTTAGAATTGATTTTAAGATTTTACTGATCACTTTTAAAGCACACTCAGGTCTGGGTCCGAGTTATATTACAGATATTTTAATTCCCTATGAGCCAGCTCGCAGCCTTAGATCCTCAGGCGGGGCCCTCCTAACAGTTCCAAAGTCGAGACTAAAAACTAAAGGTGATCGTGCCTTCGCCATAAGGGTCCCTCGACTTTGGAACGCCCTGCCTGAGGAGATAAGGCTTGCAGGATCGGTAAATTCTTCTAAATCACTTCTTAAAACCCATTTTTATAGCCTTTATGTGATGTGGTCCTTTTATGTTTATTTTTACTCCAACCATCTTTGAGTTCTGTTCTACTTATTGTCTTTTTTTATTTATTCCATCTCTATTATTTCACCTACTTTATTAATTTTTATCATGACCTCTGTTATTTCAACTATTTAATGCAATTTATTTTATCGTCCTTTGTAATTGTAAATTGTATTCTTGCTGTGTTCTGTCAAAGCACTTTGTAAACCATGTTTTTAAAAGTGCTATACAAATAAAATTATTATTATTATTATTATTCTTATAAAACCTACAAATGTAGTTAACATAGTTAGAAATAGTGGAAATGTGACACTACAGGGTACATGTTTTAAACAGGGTTATGGTATCCACCCTGCTCTTCATTTAACCAGGGGAAGGTTTCAGAAAGATGTTTTCTTTTGTCTTGGATTTATTTTATGTTAGACCTAGTGTTTGGGCAATATACTGGATGAGTCCATATAGTGGCTTTTTTCATACCGGTGCATAGCTGAAACAATTGCTTTAACTCTTCAATAGGCAACAATAATGTGTTCTACAGGTGGGGCAAGCTGTGTAGGCTGTATTGAAAGAGGCAGCCTATTAACTGTATACCTGTACTAACTGTTATAACACAACAATTTAGAACCTACAATTTACTATCTTGTACTGGACAAAACAGTCATTTTATGTCAATTTATGGTGTTTATACAACTCCAAAAGCAATATTGACATTTTTTTAAGCTCTGTTTTTACTCTGTTGCAGTTTGCACAATAAAACAATAAAACTTGTTTACATTCTGCAACTGTCCATAAAGACCCAGTGATGCAAATAAAAAAAGTTATAGTGTGGAACTGCCAGAATGTCAGTACAGCCCAGCACTAGTTAGATTACTTTAGATAATAAACATGGCCAACGGCAAAGTTGATAGTACAGACAGTTTTTGACCTGTTAAATGGGAGGACTGTGTTAGATTCTAGTTTGTCCTCTAATATATCAAAGCAGAAAAAATTACTCTTAACCAGTGTTAATGAACAATGGTACATTTTCAGTGGCAGTTACTTCCACTTTATCCATCTCTAACCCCACTTCACAGAAAACAGCCAGGTTTAGCTTACCTTTTGCAGCCACCCCAAATCGTCTACACCAAAACCAAGCATCTGCATCTTCCCTGAGCCTTGCAGCTCTTCTTTCTGGCAGTACATCGATCTCCCGAGCCCAGCAGCCAGCATCAATTACTAGTCATCTCTGTCTCTGCCATTGCAGCCTTGATACGCTAACAGTCACTTTAATGTGGTGTGTCTCACAGCACCTGTCTGACCATTTACACCCTATGATGGCCTGAACCCATTTCTACCACCACCCCACCCCCTGCCTTTTTATTCATCTTTGTCATATTCCTCCTCTCTCGCTCTCTCTCTCTGCCTACTCCTAGTTTTCAACTATCCACCCTTCCAACACCGCCCCCCCCTCGTCTCCTGCTTCTCAAACTCCCTGTTTGAGGCTGCAGCTCAGTGAAGCTGCCATTTCCTCCCCTCATCACCCCGATGTTGTGTCTGCAGGAAATGATGATGTATGGCCTTGTGTGTGTACTGTCTCCATTAGACCTCAAGTGTTTCAAGAAATAATGGAACATTATATCTTATATTACATGCCTTCACAGATTTCAAGAGCCAGATTATCGATATTTTATTGTTGTTATTGTTTTATTGTTATTACCATCAAAATAGCTTCAAGTCTTTTTCAGTGTAGTCATCTTTTACTCAGCACTGTCAGACAGCTGTTATCCTGTTGTTGTTTCTAAATTCCATTATCTTTTGTCTTCTGCCTGCAGCCCCCTGTTCAGGCAATACATTCTTCTGCCACAGCAACATGTGTATTAACAACTCCCTGGTGTGCAATGGGGTTCAGAACTGCGTGTACCCATGGGATGAAAACCACTGCAAAGGTGATTTGTCTTCTTTCTGCTCACTGTTCCCAATTGAGGTTATTATGTTGAATTTGGATCTGTCTTTGCAGTTTTTCAGGGTTGGTAATAGATTTTTCTTTTTGAAAATATTTTATTTTCTAACACTAACATCTTCTCTCCTCCCCTCACCCCTTCCCCCACCAGAGAAGCGATCTAGTGGGCTTTTTCATCAGATCACTAAGACCCATGGCACTGTCATTGGTGTCTCATCAGGCATAGTTCTGGTTCTTCTTATCATCTCCATCCTGGTCCAGATGAAGCAGCCAAGGAAAAAGGTAACTCATCCTTTGTGGTTGACCTTTTGTTCAGCAGGAAAGCAGACCAAGCCAGAGAAAAAGAGACACATAATTGAAAGTGATGGTGGGATTCCAGACCGGTTGGGAGCACACGTAGCTCTGGAGACAGGGAAGAAAGACAAATGCATCATTACAAACCGTATCAGAAATAATGCTGTATATAGGATATGTTTAGTTTCAGTGTGGTTTTCTGTGTAGTTTAGCCACATTCTATTAACCTGCCTCATCTATTTTTATTTCAGTTTTGATTTCCCACAATGCCCAGAAAACATTGTTTTAGATAGGTGTAAAAAAAAAAAAAAAAAAAGGTACTAGCAAACAAGTATTGTGTCTTTTTGTTGATTATCTAGTGATAAGAGAAATATAGTGCCAAAATTAAAAAAGGTAAGGTATGTGTGACATACAAGCTGTTTTGAGTTTTAAATGCTTGTTTTAGGGCAGGAATCACCACCAGGGAGGGGGATGTCATTCTCTGTTGTTTGCTGCTGCATTGTTATACATTTCATATATACAGTATATATATAACCTTTAAAGCCCCTGAAAACTTCAAATCTAGAATAAAGTATAATTCTATAATATAGTTATACTAACTATTCTGTTTTAACTATACTATAATTAAAAGTATAATTGCTGATCTGATTTGACAGTGGTCTGGTAACATAAGCAACAACCAACCAACCGTCTTCACACGTGATTCAAATGTTGCTAAATTCTGATTGGTGCACAGAACTGTGTAACATCCCCTTTTTCCTTTTCAAGGTTGTAGCACGCCGGCCCGGTGTTTTCAATAAGGCAGGCTTCCAGGAGGTCTTCGACCCACCCCACTATGAGCTCTTCTCTCTACGCGACAAAGAGATCTCATCAGATTTAGCTGACCTGTCTGAGGAGCTGGACAGCTTCCACAAGCTGAGGCGCTCGTCCACCATGTCCCGCTGTGTCCACGAGCACCACTGTGGCTCACAAGCCTCAGTGGCTACTGGCGGCGGCAGTATGAAGCACAGCCGCACCACCCTGAGCTCTATGGAGCTGTCCTACCACAATGACTTCTCCAAGCCACCGCCCATGAAGACTTTCAACTCCACGGCCAGCTACAAGAAGAGCTGCTACGGCTACAAGCAGCACTCACAGACTCACGACTGCGACCAGCAGGTCATTGAAGATCGCGTCACAGAGGAGATCCCATGTGAGATCTATGGTCGTGGTGGAGGTGGAGTGGGAGGAGGAGCCACAGGTGGAGTAGCAATGGGAGGAGGAGGGGCATCCGGCATTGCAGGAGGAGGGATTGGAGGAGCAGTGGGGATAACAGGAGGAGTGGCAATGGGAGGGGGAATGGGTATGGGTATGGGAGGAGGAGTGGGTATGGCGGGGCCCAGCGGCATCGCTGGAGGTATCGGTGGTGGGATGGCAGGAGCCTGCGGAACCCTCAGTATCCGCGGCAACAGCGCTCGTAACAGTACCACCATAGTTGACCCACAACAGCGCTCCATGTCCATGGACTTCTAGGTTGTGAAGGGAGGAAGAAAAGGAGAAAGGGAATGCAGAATGAGCTGGTATTTCACACATTGGAAGAAGAGAAGACAGGAGAATCACAGTAATCTTAAATTGATCACTCTTCCAACTTCTGCATTTGCTTTCAAAGCAGTATTAAAAGTAACACTTCAGGTTCTTCTCTCAAAGTCTCGTCTGAAGGTTTGGGAAATTGGCAGACAAAAATCAAGGAACAAAAGGAGGAAAAAAACAAGAAACTATTGGTTCTATTCTTCAAGATACTTAAGGATTTCGAGTGAAGAGAGGGTGGAGACATGTCGTCTCTCCTCCAGTCTTATACTCATTTAATCTCTCCTTTTCATAAGACACACATAAGAAGAGGGTTCTCGCATGCAAGACCCAGACTTCTCTCTGTTGGTAGCCTAGAAGACCAGGTAACCACTCAGAAACAGGGAGAGAAAGACAAAGAGATGTTACAGACTGAGTTTTTACATGTATTCACCTGCCATGCACAGATATATGATATATAGTGCGTCTTCTAATAATTTGAGTCTTTATTTTTGTCAGTGTACTGTACTGTTAAAACCAGTATATATCCAGCCTCATGATGATGCTTGGCTTTTGACTCTTTAATCTTTTTTGAATTTGTTGCTCAGATGATTTTATGAAGATGACATAACCATGATATGTGGTGTTGATGATGATGAGGATGAAGTTGCTGTTGTTGGTGACAGAAATGTGACGATGATGATGACAATGATAATGATGTGATATTACTATAATAATTATGTAGTTTTCATGGTTACCTCACACATACAAAGAGGGTACGCTCCATTCAGTCTCTCCTCAGGAAGAGCACATGAAGAGACTGTCCTATTTTGGTAAGAAATTGAGAAAAAAAAAATATTTCTGCTCTTTGAGCCTTTATAGCATATGGGCATTCAGGCTATGAGTGATCGTTTATGGAATATGAAATGTTTGATTGTGAGACCTGAACTGAATCAAAATAGCAACCATCCCACTCCCAAACCCCCACCCTTACGAGGAAAAGCGTAATTTCTCAAATTTTCCATGAACTGAGAGTGTAAAACAAGCACAACCTGTTTCAGACTGAGACAGACATGTAGCCTATATGGGACTCATTTATGATTTTAACCACTGGTTGTATAATTTCATTCTGTTGAATTAAATGAGAGCTTACTCACCTCCCTGTGTGAGCTTTTCTGTTCACTATAACCAAGAAAGATGAAAATGGCACCACCCAAAGGCTGGAGATTTCACAACAAGGTAAGGTGCACATTGTGACATGCAGATAGAAAACAAACCTTGTAGATAGATATTTACATGCAAAAAAAATGCTATAAGCTTGATTTATTTGCTCAGTTGTGTGACCCTTAAAATGAATGTAGGGTTAATTTTGCAGGATTTAAGGCAGATTTTAGTTGTTCCACTATAATCAGTTCTGCTTGAAATGCATACAGATATTGCAGATCATCGTGACTGTCAATCATATAAATGAATCTTCGCAGCATTTTTTTCTGTTTGTCTTACACACACATTCCACTCAGCCCCCCTCTTTGTGGTCATGATGCATATATCCTGTCAAATGCTTAAGGCAACCTCTTAAAAAATATTGCCTTCAGATACTTATGGCTACATGCATTAGACTCTGGTGATGTGCTCCTCTCCAGCCCCTATATATTGATAATATCAATATATAATCCTGGGAATAAAGTCAGATGTTGCTTAAATCTAAAATATCATAAATCATTTAAACTAACTGTTAACTTGATCATTATGCTACTAATGAAACTGAGTTGTTGAATGTACTTCATACATCACTTACTCAGTAACGACTTACTTGTTGTTGAGTGGCAACAGTGGGAACGAGTGAAGGACCAAGTGGCAGGTGAATCTTACCATAACACTAAACTTGTGAAACACACTGGCACCCTAGCAGAACTCATACGGCTGTATGAAGACCTGTTGCGCAATGAGACAATAACTCATGTGAGTGTACAGAAGGATGATAGACAGTTGTGATGAAAACAGTGTAATTGTGCATGTTGACTTTGCAGAAACATGGAAATGCAAATATAGCTCAGAAGTACAATCATGCCATTTTGGTCAAAATCTGGCTTTTGCACTGTGTCTGAATCGAAGAGTCAGGATGCTGCCTCCATTTGGGCATACATGGATCCTGTCCTCAAAACAATACGAGACAAATTTCCTGTTGCTCACACCATTCACTTTTGGTCTGATGGCCCCAGCAAACAATATAAAAACAAGAAGAATGTCTCTCTTCTGTGTGATGTTCCTTCAAGATTTGGTTTCAAAAGAGCCACTTGGAACTTCTTTGCCACATCTCATGGCAAGGGAGCACCAGATGGCATCAGTGGGACGTTCTCCTTCTGCAAGGGAATGATGTTGCAAGTGGAGAAACATTCCATGACATGGTGGGGAAAAGTCTTAAGAACATCCAACTCTTCTACATCAAAGATGAAGAAATAACGTACAATGATGAACTCATTCAACTCATGAAACCTGTGCCTGGAACACGTAAATTTCATCAGGTTATTCCTGAAGATCTATTGCAGATCGTTGTCCTGTTTTTGCAGTCAACCAAAGATGTGTCAGTGTTTTATTCCAGCCATGTTTGACCTCAGTGAGCATGTAAAGAGGCCTGCTGAGAACAGAGGGTAGCAGTGCTTCTGCTTAAACCATACCTCTTGCCATGTTCATGGAGGAAATGGAGATAGAAGGAGTTCATACAAAGATAGTGGCAGACCACGTTAACTCTGAAGACTGGCTTGCAGTTATCTATGACAAGACCTGGTGGTTGGCAAAAGTCATTGGTGTAGATTTAGAACACCAAGATGTTAAGGTGGAATTCTTCCATCCTCATGGGCCAAGTACACAGTTTCATCCGAAACGAGGAGCAAAGGATGTGTGCTTCATTCCATATCAAAACATCCTGGTACAGCTGACTGAGCCAGCAACTCCAAGTCGTGTAAGCAGCACAAGAGATATATTTCACCTCTCACCTGAGGTGATAGACAAAATAGAGAGGGAGCACCTTGGGTTTCTGATGTTTCAGTAGAGCAGTATATTATGTAAGTGTAAAATTGCTTCATCTACACATTTTGTTGTTTTGCAACATTGTATTTAGATCAAATATACTGTTTGTTATTACAGTTTGTTTGTATTCTTATTATTATGATTTTAAAAAAATCAACTTCCAGAGTTTTAAAAGTGACTTTGTTACCCTAGCAGATGCACTGCAGACTGTTCTGATATTTGTTCAGATAAAATACACACTTGTTGAGCCAATGTAAATAAAATGTTCATAAACAACATAGTCATTGTTTGTTTTAATGTTTTAAAATACAGGTATTTGATTGGTTTCATGTATTTAAGAGCTTAAGTATAGATTAAACAACTACAAATTTAGGTTTTTGTCACCACCGTCAGATATGGGTCAACTCTGTCAGGTCTATTTCACCTCCATATTTAGTTAATATTTCAGTATGATATTTGATATTTGTGAGGACTTTTTTGGTCAGAAGTGTAAATGCACTCTGTCTACTAACATGACAATGCATTTTGAGTGATGTTTAAGGTAAAGTTAAACTTCTATTATGCAGTCCAATAAAAAAACACAGTCGAAAATAGTTATAATATAAAAAATATATACACATTGAAAGTAATGTTCTTGAGGGCTCTGACAGCCTTGGTGAAAATGTGCTTTTGTTATAGTTTTTATATATGTCTGGCACAATGTGAGTGAAAATTAATTTGTGTTTTTTGTGTCTGACGGTGTTGACATAAAAAAAGGGGTGGCACGGCAAAAAGCACATTTTGTTAAAAAAGAGAAAGGTTTGGAGGTTGTATCAAAGCAGAGCACAGTAGCTGAGTACATGGTAGATACATGCATGTAGTTTACTTTATCTGAGCCTAAGGTTGTTTTTTAAACTTTGAATCCTGTTTTGTCCCACTTCTCAAGAATCAGTGACCTGTTAGACATAATTATGCCATTATTTATGTGCACAATTCACATGATTAGCTACAAATTACATAACAAGATACACTGGGGTTTACTTAAATAAAAACATTGTCTATTTTTTCAGCATTAATCCCACAAGGGGAGCTTCAACATTTTTCAGAGGATCTGCAGAAGCAGAAAGGCAGCCCCACCTGCACACCGACTGTTCTCCATGTTGTATCTGCTGATAAAACCCTACATTACGAGATAAACAACATTACTGTTTGTTTGTTTTTACACAACATGAAACTTGTACAACAGCATTAGTATCAGTCAGATATAAAACTACACCCTGACTGTCAATACATCCCCACTAGTTAGATTTAAGTATAAAGATGTCTGACAAATAAGATCTGTCAGAAGTCTTAAGATATAAAACCTTCTTTGTAAATATCTTTAAAGAAATTTCGACCATTTCTAATTCAAATAATACAATTCTCAAAATGTTTGTGTAGTCAGAACACCAACTCAAGATATTAACGGCTGCTTTGTTAAGCCTAAGATCCCCACTTGTTTGGCAATTTAGATATCTTTATTTGTCAAATAAATGAAATATATCCTTAACTGAAGTGAGGACTATAGTTAGAAGTATATCTTAAAATGTACTTATGAGGAGTAAGTCATTACCAGAATCCAAAATTGAATTTACATTCATTTGGAGATTCCATAAAACTTCACAGTATAAGTATTAAAATTTAATTGAGAGATAGCTATCAAAAATAAACGTCTCACTACATATAAATATATAATAAAGCAAAAAAAAAAAAAAAAAAAGAGTGGAACAAAAACCTTACATAAATTCCCCCAACACAAAGGCACAAACAGAAGCAGGTGCACACCTGAGGAATACTAAAGTTAACAGCTATTTAAGGGCCCACCCACACCCGTGTGCACAATATAAACACAAGTTTAAGGGCCAAGCACCACACGTTATCTTTTGTATCTGGTGTAAAATGATGTAAATATAATTTAATTTAGTTGACTTCAGTGTTATGGTGTGATATGCAGTTTATTATGTATTTAGTTTACATATAGCACCCATAAGTTTGTGTGGCGGGAGATGAGATCAGCAGTCATTGAGCACATCAGCAGCCTGGAGGCAGCAGCGGGCACACGGAGAGTCTAACTTTCCGGAAACTGACACACGAAGCGAGCAAAACATTTTCCACCGGCTCTCTCTTTGTCCATCCACCTCGCCTCCCTGCTGAAGCAACATCCACAGCAACACCATGGCGACTGTTGTCGATACAAAACTATACGACATCCTCGGAGTGTCTCCATCCTCATCTGAAAATGAGCTGAAGAAGGTAATAACGTAGAAAAAGGCTGAACAAACTACGAAATTATTATTACGTTTCTGTCCCGAGTCTGAGCTCGTTGAATTGACACAATCAGGAAATGCGTTGCTATGCGCAGCTAGCAGTTAGCTAATGTTAGCTGTGAGTTGGGATAGCCTGTTAGCAAGCTAACTGGCCTGGATGTTCGTCTGACGATGCGACTGTAACATTTAACGACTACAGGGTTTGTTAAATCTGCTGATTCCTCACTGTTTAGCTGTAGAAACTGTATCATTGCCTTAAACACGACAGTTTACGTGGGTTGCGTTAACTGACTTGCGACGTGACTAATCAAGTGATTGACCTCACGGTAGCGTTAGCTCAGGTGTTTGTCATATAACTACGGTAGCTACGTCTGTCGAAGGTTGTAGAAAGGTACCGTAGTTTGTTACTCAAAGGCTGGAAACAGCTCGCTGACAGACAGACAGACAGACAGACATTGGTCAATCATAAGAAGCGGACTTGAGTTTTGATCTTTGGGTTAACGTTAGCTAACCAGCTGTTTCTACAGCGACGTTAACGTTTGTCAATAACAAGGGTCGTGTTGTACTGACACCATTGTTCGGGGACCTGAACGCTTCATTGCGTCCAGATCAGTGGAGTTAACGTAGTTTCAGCCACAATCCTCCGTAAACGCTAACTTTAAGTAAATGTGTCAACGCTAAATCCAAACTCCGCTAGCATCAGCTAGCTTACCGCACATAGCGTGTCATGTTAACCATATCCTTGTGAGCTAGCCTAGTTATTCCTCTAAGGTTAACGTTTTGTTGTACAGAATTTCACCATAGTTCACTTTATTTTTAGGCTCTTGGCTACCTTTTATCTGTCAGGTTGAAAAACACTTGTTACATTTTGTTGGTTAATTAGATAAAAATGATAACGCCATATTTGCCTAGTGTTAGCAAGACATGCTAAGTTAATTAGCTCACGCACGTTTACCCTAACGTTAGCGTCGGCTAACGATACAATTGTCAGACATTTTGAACTGCCATTTTTGGACAAAATGGTATTTACGGGTATACTGTATCAACAACTAGTGATGAACTCTGTCGACACTTTAGGCAACGGATGAGAGTTACTCAGAAAACCGCTGAACATGAGCTTTTAAAGCTTAACGCCGTTACAGGTAACGATAGTATTTAGCCGGATGTAACATCTGGTTGTGTCAGGGAGACACGTGTGATTGCGTTAACAGTAGATAATGTTCCTTCGTCACGCCGGTGTGTGATTCCAGTAAACACCGCAGGCCTCTAAAATGAGTGATCTTAGCTAATACTTCCTCTTTGGTGTACTCCTAGGCATACCGGAAACTGGCGAAAGAATACCACCCTGACAAAAACCCCAATGCTGGTGACAAGGTAAGACATATGTGAAGGTGTTGCTTTTTGGAGGGGGGGATTGAACCAAAGCTTTGTCATTCCTCAGTGCTTGTCTGTTTCTTAAGATATATTTGTTTAGTGGTGACAGTGGTCTAAAATTTCAGTTTTCTTTTGTTTTTAGGCTAAATCCTTGGTATTAGGTTCTGTCATTATTTAATTTGCTTTTAAACATGCAGCTACATTTCATGAACCCTCACTACAGAATTACCACAGACCCCCCCAAGCTCCACATAATACTGTCATTAGCTTATAATGTTGCATTTTTGGAATATTGGTGGGAGAATTAAGGGCCTGTCTTCCATTATCCCCCATATGGCAGACTGCCATTTTCTCAGCAGGGGATTACATTGTAGGAAATGGCAACTTAGTGAGTGAAGCCAGTGTTTGTAAGGGAAACAGTTGCGTTTAAGCAAATAAAATGTGTGCTCGACCTCATCCTCGTTCAACTGGTGTTGAGATATTGTTGGAGATACTGATTCAACTCTGCAGTAATGTTTTTGATTGTAGTCTTTGGCACCCTGTTGAATTGCTTTATTTTTTATTTTCAAAGATGAAACAGTGTAATGCAACTATATCTTAATTCTAAACTTGAGTCATTAATGAAATTACTTTCTTTATTTGGGGGGGCTTTTATTGCCTTTTTATTGATAGTGACAGCTGGAGACAGGAAAGGGGGGCAGAGAGAGGGGATGACACGCAGCAAAGGGAACCCTGGGCCGCTGAGATGAAAGGTTATTGGAAATATTACTTGGTCCTCCTGAGCTGCACAGAAAATGAATGCTGGCTTCTGTTCCCATATAAACTGTATATGGAATGTGGTGCATTGTTTGTTAACCCCTTCAATCCTTTCGCAGAGGCTTATATAGTCCCCCCCTCCTTGTAGCATTGCAAAGTCAGTTGAAACTACTTGCTGTAGTTTTATGTATGCCCTGTGATTAATTTGCTGTGCAGTCCCACTGTTCTGACAGTTGAAATGTGATCTTTACCCTTTTGTTTTCTGTCCTCTGAAAACATAGTTCAAAGAAATCAGTTTTGCCTATGAGGTGCTGACCAACCCGGAAAAGAAGGAACTTTATGACCGCTATGGAGAACAAGGCTTGCGGGAAGGAGGTGGGGGTGGCCCAGGGATGGATGATATCTTCTCCCACATCTTTGGCGGTGGACTCTTTGGATTCATGGGTGGCCAGGGGAGTCGCTCCAGGAATGGAGGTCGTAGGAGAGGAGAGGACATGGTCCACCCACTCAAGTAAGACCAAGCTTGTATTTGCATACATCCTACTTGACTGAATTGTTTTTATGTGAAACATTTTTGTTATTTGGAATTACTTTTAAATGTCAATGTTGTACTCTAATTCTTCAGTCTTATGTCTCTTAACAGTATCTAACCATCAGATTTTTTTCTGCAGGGTGTCACTGGAGGACCTTTACAATGGGAAAACCACTAAACTACAACTTAGCAAGAATGTACTGTGTAGCACTTGTAATGGGTAAGTTGTATATCCAACATCCAGTCCACACTGATTTCTGTGAGTGTTGATGTTTGGTTAATCCTGTTACATTTCCTATGTTTCTAACAATAAAATTCATCTCTGCGTATGTATGCAGGCAGGGAGGCAAGACAGGCGCTGTACAAAAATGTACAACATGTAGGGGGCGTGGCATGCGCGTCATGATCAGACAGCTGGCTCCAGGGATGGTCCAACAGATGCAGTCTGTGTGTACTGATTGTAATGGAGAAGGTAAGGGGCACTGAACTGGACTGTGATCAAGCATTTCTTTTGTGTGTCATTATGGCTTGGCCTGCACAGATCCCTCATCTAGTTTTTTTTTTTTTGTTCTTGTTGTTTTTAACCCACTCCAGGCGAAGTTATCAGTGAGAAAGACCGCTGTAAAAAATGTGAGGGCAAGAAAGTCGTGAAGGAGGTGAAGATTCTGGAGGTACATGTGGACAAAGGCATGAAGCACGGCCAGAAAATTACCTTTGGAGGTGAGGCTGATCAGGCACCTGGTGTCGAGCCTGGGGATATAGTCCTTGTTCTGCAGGAAAAAGATAATGAGGTAGGTGGGCCAGTCCCTGAACGCTGTAGCCATACTCCTCCTCACCTGCCCTCTGTCTCCCCTATGCACTCTGTCATAGGGGAATAGTATTTTTTTTCTTCTGTTATTTAGGACACCATTTTGCTTATGTCATTGTTTTATGTGTCAGTTACTAATTATTCCTGCCTATATAAAGGTGACCTTAGTTCTATGCCAAGTTCCCTCACCTGGCCACAACTTCCTGCTGAGTCATGTACACGTGCAGTACAATAAGCCGTATAGGAGTGAGGAGGAGAAGTCAGTGTTTGTATTAACAAGTTGCCTGGTGGACAACAGATCAGCAAAATGGTGTATATGAAACCTTAGAAACCAAATCTTTATTACCATCGGTGAATACAGGTCAACAATTCTGAGAGCTTGTTAGACATTGGGAAGTAGTTAAAGGACTGCTTCAAGAGAGTTTCCACCGCTTGCACCCACCAGGTAAGCTAGCTATGGGCTGTAAAGCAGAGTCCCTTTGTTTCCCTGCATTCAGCCTGATCTTCTGGCTGCATTCCATCCCTCCCTGGATGAATTGATGATTTATTTATCTGCAGTGTTTAGGGGAAACACTATTGCAGTGTTCCACTTGAGGCTATGCACTGCTGTATATCAACGCATTGGGAATTTGCATTGTTTTTTTGTTTTAGTTTTAGCAGATAAAAAAAAATGTAATATAGCAGAAGTAAATGTTCTGTGCTTTTAAGTCCAAAAAGCCATGGTCTTCCATGTTGTAAATAGCCTGGATTTATAGTTCTTCTCCTATCGGTGGTCAGTTTGCAAAACCAGTTTCATTATAAATCAGTTTTTCCTTATGTGGGTTAGAAAAAAATAGTGAAAATGAGCGGTGAATAAAGATGTGATGAGATCTGCGACAGGGTTAATGAGTTAAATGGCCAGTTTGTCACTAGAGTTGGTTCCAGCTGGTGGTGCTTTAAACCTCTCGACTGTGAGTGCTGAGAACCAGATGGTCTTGACAGTGCTGTGCAGTCAGAGCTGTAAATTGTACAAATTTAGTACATGGAATTGAGTGGATGTCTGCCATGATTGCCAGATTTACAACAAACACTACAAGTCAAAAGCTTTTTCACCGGTTTGAAACCAGGTATTTCAAGGTTAGCCATGCTTTATTGTAATGTTGTTAGTTGTTAAAAATGGATGGTTCATATCTGAGCTCAAGGCAGGCCCACTAACTTAAATTGACTGACTTGTCTAACACCGGTGACCTAATTCCATACATAATGTTTACTTGCTTGGGTTTGTCTGGGGTTGTCTTGCTAGCCAGGACACAAAGCGTACAAGAGAAGCATGCCATTTGTGACTTGTTGGGCTGTCTGTGAGCCTTCAGTAAGATAATGACCTGAGACACCTCTTTGTTAGCAGGGATTAAAGAGAGGGCAACATCAGTTCCAATGGTCCACCTTTTGTCCTCACCTCAATCATGTGAAATTTATGAAATCAACTGAACAGAGCCACCCCACATGTGCTTGATGATTCTGTAAATATCTGACAAATCCATGTAATGACCTTAGACTTGAAAGTATTGTTTGATAAGTTTTTTTTATTTTTTATTTTTTTTTACATTGCGTGTTTACTGTCCGGTGGTTGAGACTCAATTGTCACAGCTAAATGCCCTACTTGTCTTTATTGGGTTTCCTCAGAGGTAAACACAAACACTCTCAAAAGTCCCCAGACTACTCTGACAATGCAGTGGGATTTTGGCTAAACTGGAACAGCAGGCTGGGCTGTATCTTTGCCCCTGGCTCTTTCTCCCAGGGTGTATCTATATTAATGTCAGAATGTTTGTGGATGTTGGAAGCAAATAGGTTACCACAACCAGCTACAGGAAAACTGACATTTACAAGTACTTTGGATGTTGTTGACCTGCCACTCCCATCATTAATGCATGGAAATAATGTAGAAAGTCAGCTGTGTGTTAAACCAAAAACCATGAAATACAGTTAAATAAAAAAAAGTTATTAGCAGGCAGGCTCATTTGCTCCTTGGTGCATTCAGTAACTGAACGTAAGTTGGACAAATGGTTGGCTTGCAAATAAAGCAAATTCAGACATCAGACTTGTGGAGTAAATTGCATAGATGTAATATTATCCAGATTATGTTTAATCCTATGGCTTTTTTCACTGTCACAGTTGTTTGTGCTAGGGGTGTTGCTTTTTCACCAGTAGATGCTGTGGGACTTGATTATGTAAAAACTGTGCTCACCAAGTAATTTAATTCCTTTGTCCTACAACTAACAAACTATGCAAATGTTATGTTCTAGGCATTGACGAAAGACAAGTGAACCATGATGTTGGTATAAACTACAAGATAATTAAAAAGTTCCATCAGGCAATATTTTTAACCATCTCCTGCTCTGTTTGCAGACATTCAGGCGAGATGGCAATGACCTCTTCATGAACCACAAGATCGGGCTGGTGGAGGCACTGTGTGGCTTCCAGTTCATGCTGAAACACTTGGATGGAAGACAGATTGTTGTCAAGTACCCTGCTGGCAAAGTCATTGAACCAGGTCAGCCCTCTTCATACTTAATCGGTTTCTCTTCTCTACTTTTATTTTCCAGCAATCAACTTTACCAGGATGACCTGTATATGGTAAAAGCTGTGATGGCATAGTTGCAGGACAAATGAGCAATTTCTATGAATCACTAAAAAAAAAAATGTCAGGGCGTTGCGAGATGTGTTAGTGTAAATATTAAATGGCACTGGGCAGATTTTTTAACAAATGTATGCAAGTAAAATGATCACACACTGGGGTGCTGCTGAGAGAGAATCACAACAAGAAGACATATTTAGAAGATGCTGAGCAGCTCCAGTGATATTGGATTTGTGCACAGACAAGGACAAAGTACTTGATAAATGAGGGGATAGTGGGGTCATCAGCATCAGCATCCTTGGTTCTGGAAAGACTGCCAAAAGTTCCTCTTACACCCTTAGACTTCTATTGTCCATGTATAAAGCCTGTACACAGGACGTTGTGGAATCGGCTATAATAAAGTGAGCTACATAAATAAGTTGCTTCATCTTTTCCAGGCTCGGTGAGGGTGGTGCGAGGAGAGGGCATGCCACAGTACCGAAACCCTTTTGAGAAGGGAGATCTGTACGTCAAGTTTGATGTCCAGTTTCCCGACAACAACTGGATCAGCCCTGAGAAACTTGTGGTAAGAAATGTTACTAATAATGAACGGTCTATCATCTTCTGGGATTATTTGGGTCATTGCAGTAAAGACACAACAGCTATTGGCTAACTAATGCTTCATACAGTACATATATACATTATATATATATATATATATGTTGCACTCTGAATAGTGTTGATTTTAATCTTCCTCCATAAGCTAAATTTATTCTGTAGCACTGCACTCTTGGCCCGACAACCATTTGACTCTGCGGCGTGGTCAGAAAACATAATGAGGCTAAAGGCTCTTAAAGCTGCATTATGATGAATGTTTTCCACATGTAGGAGCTTGAAGACATGCTGCCCTCGCGATCAGAGCCTCCCATCATCACTGGGGACACAGAGGAGGTCGACCTGCAGGATTACGATGTCAGCCAGAGCTCGACGTCGGGTAGCCGCAGAGAGGCCTACAACGACAGCTCCGATGAAGAGGGTGGCCACCACGGGCCAGGGGTGCAGTGCGCCCACCAGTAGTCTCATACTCCCACACATGCACACACGACCCACGTTCTGCTTGGGGAGAAAATGTACGAGTTGCAGAGTAAACAAGGATGTAGGTCAGACTGAAAAAGCTTGGTAATTCCTCAGACACAGATCAAGTAAATGTTATTGAATCATGGCACCTGGAATTGTTGATTTAATGTTATTGACCTGTGTGCTGGGATTGTCTTGATCTTTGCCTGAGGAACTCACACTGGGGCAGCCAAAGACTTAACACTGCACCTGAAACAGATTTAGACACTTTAAACAGCAACTTCAGGTAGAAGTCATTATGTATTTAAGATGTATCCAAACAATTGGGTGCCCCAGTGAATGCCATGTAGAACTATGATCTGGTGTTCACTCCTCTGTCACCCCTGTTGAAGTCCATTCCCCTCTCCACTAATGGGAACTCCAGATCAATCAAAGAAAGGAACGTGTCTTGTTTGCTGAGTGTGTGACTTGCATTTTGTTTTCATAGTATTTACAATAATTAATTTAAAAACTAACCGATGTGCATACACAAAGCAGCTGAGCAATGTGACGTGCAGATCCTTGGACTCGTGTATTCATGGATTCATCCACTCGGCGCCATTCGTAGGATTTGTTTCTGATTTTTACAGCTTTATTTTCTTTGTAGGTTTTTACTCATTTTTTTTTGTCTTTACATTTTAATTCAAACAGAAAATTGGCTATTGTGTATATCATTGAACTGGTTGTTGGTAAGCTTCATCAGCTGCTGTATTCAAAGCTGTGTGATTTTTAAAAAAGAAAAATTACAAGTGAGATGACAAATGTATAGCTCGTATCTGTGCTGAGACCATGTGCATGTAAAAAGCTTTGGTTCCTGCACTTATCAAACATCAAATAAAGCAGCACACTTCTTAAGAAAATGTCTATGAAGTTGTTGAATAAATTGTTGAAATATCATGTGTGTGTGTGTGGTGCCTTTTTATTAATCACCAAAATAATGTTAGTAGTCTTCTTCTATCTTCACCTAACCACAATAGGGATACGTAGAATTATGTGGCGCTCAGAGCACTAAAGCATTACATAATGGAAAAGAATCAGCGGTTTCTTTCCAGAAACAATGAGTCAGTGTCCAGAGCTAATCCACAGATAAGATCAGCACTGATTACCAACTGTCTTCAATAATGACTATTGACCTCATACCACCTGACCCAAATGCCTTGATGCTCATTTTAGATCTATGTACTTCCTAGAAAGTTTCCATCATCAGTCAGTCATCCTAGAAAAGTGAATGAGATCACACATCCTCTATTCATTCCTAGTAAATGCAAACACAATATGCTGTAATGACTTTGGTTGATGTCAGGCATTGGACAGTTAGAAAATCACATCACCATGTCAGTTGAAATTTCCTCTTTGCCTATAAGTTTTATTTTATTTGAAGTCCATATTAACTTTACATAAGTTGAAATTGCAAGTATGTCTTCACCTGCCTTATATGGTTTCTACTAGTCATACAGGTAGTTTTGGTTTAATTGCCCTGGTAATTGTATATTTTTTAAAATGTATGAATTGTATTGTCTATTTTATATTTTCAGGCAAGAGTACACCAATCAGCTGAGGGTTGGGGTTACAACCTTTAATTTAAGTTTTTGTACACAAAGATTTGCACAATGAAGCGACTGGAAAGCTCGAGATCAATAAGGAGTGTTCACTTCCTCTCTTAGGGAAAGAGAGACAAGGTCTGTATTCATTCAGAGCAACGAGATTACTCTTATGAGCTGCTGAGCTAACTATATGGTTGTGTGCTAGATAACACTGTCTGCAGTGACTGGATGAGAAGTGACCAGTCTGTGAATGTGAAATAAAACATTAATATGAGCGTGGATCAGATTACATTAAAACATAAAATTTAATATGAAATGAAATTAATTTTAGGTTCATTAAAAATAATTACGTTTAAATTGAAATAAATTGATTAAAATACATTCAAATTTAATTAAATGCATATTACATGAAATTAAATGATATAATTAGTAATAATGACTTAATTGCAAAGTAAATTATTTTTAAAAATGTTAAGAAACAGTTATATTACCGGTTATATTAGCATTACCTTTGCACTACCTGAAGTCTAAGTTTTTGCACCAATATTACACTGATACTGCACACATTGTACATATTTTTATTTTTATATACTCCTATTAAGTCTAATTTAGTTTCCCTTTTGTATTTCTTCCGTAAGTGTTGTTTTTATATAACCCTATACTATATTGTGTTAAAGTGTTAACGTTTTTATTGTTTTTCCCCCTAAACTATTTACTTTAGCGCTAAAAATTACTTGTATATGGCGCCAGAAAATGTTTAATATTAAATAAACATTTGAGCCTCCAAGTGGCATCCGTGGGCACGATGAATCCGACAGTAGGGTTAATAAACCTCGAGCAAGGATTTGTAAACCGGGAGTGCAGATTTACCGGGCAGCTCCGTATCAATGCAACTGACTATCATTGTGACATCATCGACACAAGGATGAAGTCCCTGTTCATGAACGCCTATTTCCTCCATTCATAACACCGGCGCCGTGGCTTAGTTGGTTAAAGCGCCTGTCTAGTAAACAGGAGATCCTGGGTTCGAATCCCAGCGGTGCCTTTTAAGTCTCCACTGTCCCATTACTTCCTGTTATATGTTGCTCTACTCACATTGAATTTCTATATATGGTCAAATTAAAGCTGGACCAGTCACTTTCTTTTCTACCTTTAGAAACGTGCTCCATGGCCTGTGTGAAAATGCGGACATATACTGTTTACTGTAGATTCCCTATGTCAGAGACTGTTTGCAGTAACTACACCCATCTGACCACATGGGGGCGGCAGTGAAACAGCCTACAGAACCAAGACTCAGTCAGGCTACAATGGAGGGATGGGGAGAAGAAAATCATGAAGCCACCGTGTCTTGGACGTACTCTTCTTTTCAATAAGCAAACAGAGTCTGTGGTGTAATCTGTACTTCAGGACCATGTCTGCAGTTTGTAACCAACTGTTTGTTACATCCACTCCGGGAGCCAGGAGGGAAGAAGACCTTTAAACACAGAATAATATGGGCCACTTTGTCCTGTTAAGATGCGGCAAGCCAAACACAGAGTGGGCCACAATTACAGCGGAAGTGAGACCGCTGTGTCTTCAAAATAAGACCAGCAAAACGCATTTCAAGATGCAAGAGGTTTATTGTCATATGTACAGAAAGAAACACGGTGGTTTATACGTACAATGAAAATCTTACTTTGCCCGACATGGGGGGGGGGGAGTCTCCAACTCTGACTGACTGGGGGTCTGTCCGTGAGGAAGTTCAGCACCCAGTTACAGAGGGAGGGTGTCAGTCCGAGGGTGAGGAGTTTTTCAGAGAGTTTGTATGGAATGATTGTGATCAATGCACAACAAAGAAAATATTACAAATGTATTCCCACCTGTCCACAAAGACTAAGAGCTGTACAGCTCCTTGAAGTGTATAATTATAGACTAATGTAATACATTATTTGGTGGTTTATATTTGTAATTCATGTTTATCAGTTGTTAGTGACTTTGTTCCGCTTTGATATCAAGTTTTTGTGTGGATCAGACGTTCAAAATAGCCAACATCCTCTCTGAGTGAATGTTTAAAAAAACAAAAAACACCGTGAATATCAGTAATTAATAATATTGTAATAATTAATATTAATAAGAGGCATACAAACACATGTGTAGATTACCATGTTTGAGTGCATACAGTATTTCCTGAACATGGGTTTCCAACAAGTATGCCCTCAAAAAGGCAAATTTGTAAATGTTTGCCGTTGCTCAAAATGCCTATGAGTAAACATGGCTCTTATTTTGAAGGCGGTGACCGGAAGCGGCGAGGTTCGCTGTCGCTACCTTGACCCTGGTTTTCGTGGCTCGCTGCAAAGGACACAATGCCTTTCCACAGTGAGGAGCTTTCGGTGTGCGCGGTGTGTCTGAGCTGAAAACAGATGCGGGAGCTTCGCTGGACGACCCAGATGTCGAGCACACCGCGGAGATCGGGTCCCAGATAATAGCAGAAGTCCCCCGCCGGGACCATGGGACTGCCGGAGCTGCTGCTCGGACTGCTGTGGTTCCGCTCCGCTCTGCTCTGTGCAGGTGAGGAACAACAATGCATCCACACTGCTGTAATGTTGGGATGGATATCTGTGCACACAGTTCATGTATCTGTGCTGGGAGTCCTGCTGGGAGATCCAAAATCCTCAAGGAAATCCAGTGAATGGACTGAATGTGTCGGTGGTCGTTTTCCTGTTTATCAGCATCGCTGGGGGTCTTGCAGTTTACAAAGCTTCTGATATCACTGACTACCTCGGCACAGCACTCACTAGAAAAGCTGCTGTTCACACCCGAGCAGGAGTGGATGTTGTTTCTCTCGCTGCTCTCTCCTGTGTCACTCTGATGAAGTGATATGACGGAGGAAGACAGAGTGTTTTCATTGTTGTGATCGGATGGAGTGAGAGGATGAGGGTATCAGTGTGCAGGAACCTGCGGGGGTATTGATCTGTGGTGGGTAAATGATCAGGGTTAGTGTGGAAACATGGATGCTCTTTCACAAATGTGATGCTGCTATCAGCATTACATCACTGCTCCTCTGCAGCCAGTCAGTCCCTCTCTCTCCCTCTCCCTCTCTCTCTCTCTCTCTCGTCCCCCCTCCCCCCTTCTCTCTATTATCATATCCTTCACTTTATTGGCATGGACATAAAGGAGAAGGCTGCCAAACCAAGAGACAGGTCAAACTGTTTCAGATTTTAGAGGTGTGTGTCTGTCTGTGTGTGTGTGTGTGTGTGTGTCTGTGTGTGTGTGTGAGAGAGAGAGAGAGAGAGAGAGAGAGAGAGAGAGAGAGAGAGATAGCAGGAAGGAAGGAAGGAGGAAAGTAAGAGAGCAGGACGAAAGAGAAGTTGTCACACACACCGTTAAACACACACTATCCAAAACACGTGTTGGTACTTGTTTCACCTGGCACCTTTTCATGCACAAAGTACTGGGAAGATCAAAGTCACCCACACACTCTCTCACTCTCTCTCTCACACACACACACACACAGACACACACACACACACACACACACACACACACTCACACACCAGCTGTACAGCGTCCCTGCAGAAGAAGAAAACCTTATGTGTGTTTCAGTGAGGTCATGCTCTCTTTATTTCAAAACATTTTTAGAAACACTTCAGAGATTCAGGGGATTAAATTTTGTTTTTTAAAACCACACGGATAAAAAAAATTGAAGGGCTTAATACTGCAACAAGATCAAATCTAAAACAAATCTAAAAGCAACTCATCCACCTGCTCCTCTCTCGGGTGCTCCGTACTGCTGTTATCAGTGGTGGACTGTTACTAGGTACGTTTATTGTAGTCTCTACTTAAGTTGAGCTTCTTGGACTTTACTTGAGTTTTTCTAGTTTATGTTGCTTTAGACTTCTGCTACACTACAGTTCAGTGGGAAGCATTTTACTTTTTACTCCATTCCTTTTGAGTTTAAGATTTGACCTTAAAAAAAGAACCAAACAATGAGTACTTTTACTTTTGATACTAACTGTAGAATATATCATCCATTCCATTAAATCTCATGTGACTATTCTCACAAACTTGTTGGCAGCTGAACGTGTTTCTGGTTGAGATCAAGGAGCTGAGTCTAGAGCTGCACCCCGCTTTCAAAACTCAGCATGTCCTGTAGCTGCAGTGCATTCTGGTCTGTCGAGGCAGGTACGGATATAGGAGCTTGTATTTCTTTTTCTCTACAGTAACTGTGATCTGGATGGGAACATTTTGACAGGTCAGCAGCAAAGTAGGTCAAAGTAAAAATGATCAGGTTCGTGCACAGGTTTGACATTATCTCAACCAATACAAACCCTGTTCTTCTAACTAAAAACCAGTGAACTCCACTTTACAGAACATCCTGAAGATTTACTCCATGCTCACTTGTTCAACCTGATGATCATAGAAAATGTAATTTGCAACATCTGCTGTAGTGAAGAACAATCAGTGTGCAGCAGCATTGTGCAGCTCTACTTTACAGACTACTTGGTGCAGTCCAGTTTCATGTGTTGTGTACTAAGCTAGCCACGTTCGGAGTAGTCGATATCCATCACTGAGCTCTAAATGATCCCCCCCACCCCCCACCCCCCCGTTTCACTTTGCTGACTTTACTGATTCATCAAGAAATCCCGAAACAAACGCACACACTCAGCAGAACTGAGCAGACTCTGCTGTGTGACGGTGTTGGATAATCATTGTTGAGCAGTTTGGCTAATGTTCCCTCTCTGTGGTTCTGGGTAATTAAGAGGCTTGTTAGACAGCTTCTTCTTGCTTGTGTTTCATTCCCACTGTGGCATTAAGCAGCAATGGGACCATTAAACATTGAACCTAGCAGCTTTACATTCTCATATATAAGAAAGAGGATAAAATCCATCCCACTGATGTTATATCTCCATTTCAGTTGAAGTCATTAGTGCCTCACTCTCTCTGCTCTCCCCGCCATCAAGCCTTCCTGTTTTCAAACTCTTTCTTCAGAAGTCTAACCTCGATCATGATGCCTTCACTTAATCAAAAAACAATGGGATTTGTTGCCTGCTCTCTACACAGAGGTCTGTGTCTTATTCCTGGTGCTCCTCTTGGCCCCCGCACACTGTTTGTTGTTCCCTGGAGCAATGGTGCGATGGCAGCAGGCGATGCTGTTGCCTTGGCTGCCAGTTTGACTGCCGCTGCTTCTGTTTTAGCCCCCATGTGATCAGCATAGAGCTCCTCTGAAAGGCACTAAGGTCATTTGTCGCGTCGAGGCATTCTTTGGAAGGTTTTGCACTGGTCAGAGACAAAAGATCTGGATAACACACTTTTGTAGAGTGTGGCAGCGATATGACGACATCCCTTAATGCATTATTGCTAGAATATCTGTCTAGTGTCGGGGTTCCTGGTTCCAGTCTTATTGCGTGTTTTGTGACGTATGAACCTCTACATCACTAATGTGTTTGTTTCCATCTCCCTTTGCCTCTTTGTTTCCCAGGCTGCAGTGAGCGAGTGGAGGTCCATACAGAGCGGAGGGGTGTGATCTACAGTCCCTCCTGGCCTTTAAACTACCCCCCTGGAGTCAACTGCAGCTGGCATATCCAGGGGGGTCAGGGAGAGGTCATTACCATCAGGTAGAATCCCTCTCACATACAGCACACACCTGGAAGTTGTTGTGGAGTAAGCACCTGACACCATCAATGTTCTGCCCTAGTTTCCGGAACTTCGACGTGGCGGAGTCGGGAAGTTGTCTGGGAGACTGTCTCCTGCTGACCCCGACGTGGAACGGGGAATCCAGGCTGTGTGGCTCAGTCCTGCCTCCACCCTTCATCTCCACCAGGGGGCGTGTTTGGCTCTATTTCCACTCTCAGGCCAATAGCTCCAGCCAGGCCCAGGGCTTCCGCCTCTCCTACATCAGAGGTACGCTGGACAAAGGAGGTTATCTTTTTGTTCCATCCTTGACCTGTGTGAATCCAAATTTGCAGTTTTAGTGTGTGTAAAATATATGAATGATAAAACTGACAGAAAAAATGAAGCAATAATTACCAGAGCTATAGCAGTGCTTTTATTCATGACATGATAGAAATATTTTCACCATATCACTAGACATTGTTCCACTAGACACTTGACATAGTGTTTGCTTTATTTGGGTTACTCTCTTGTGTGTCAGTTCTGGGCCACAGTAACCTGTCCAACCCATACTCTAGAGGTAGCACTCCAGGCCTCACTGAGGGAACTCAGCTGTATTACTATACACAATGTTTTTTGCTTTACAATATCAAATAATTTATTCTGACACAGGTCTGTGTGTTTTCAGGTTATGTGTTGAGTGTTAGCGGCTGGTGTTGCAATCCATCAATTTCTCCTCTCCACAGGTCACCTGGGTCAGAGCAGCTGTCAGTCAGATGAATTTCTGTGTGGGAACGGGAAGTGTCTTCCTCGCTCCTGGAAGTGCAACGGCCAAGATGAATGTGGCGATGCCACCGACGAACGCAGCTGCTCCCCCCCACCCACTGAGGCCCAGCCTGGCCTCTGCCCCTTCGGCTCCCTCCCGTGTACCGAGGCCCAGTCCACCCGCTGTCTGCCTGCCGCCCTGCGCTGCAACAGAGCCCGTGACTGTCCTGATGGCACAGACGAGCTGGGTTGCCCTGACACCACCTGCGGCAAACGTCTGGGGAACTTCTACGGCTCCTTTGCTTCCCCGGATTTTTTCCGGGCTAACAGGAGCGCAGTGACCGAGCTGAGGTGTTCCTGGTTGCTGGACACCCAGGACCCCAAGCCCATCGTGCTGCAGCTGGACCTGCGGCTGGGGCCCGGAGACTCGCTGCATGTCTACGATGGCCTGCTGCAGCGGGCAGAGCACCTCTTACAGGTGTTGTCATATCATAACAACAGGCGCCCAGTGCTGCTGGAGTCGAGTCGGGGTCAGATGAGTGTTTTGTACATGGCCAAGCCTCACAGCCCTGGACATGGCTTCAATGCCACATACCAGGTACTGTAAACTGGGAATATTCTTAAAAAAAAACTTGTTCCTTTGTCTCCAGATTGACTGTAAACTTATCATTTATCATTTCCATCTGTCTCTTACAACTTTTGCTTTTAAATATCCTTCTTCCAACTTCTCCCTCCACTTTAGTGGTTGAGAGAGAGAGTAGCTGTTCAGCTGGTGCAGAAAATCAAGCAAAGAACAGGTCGTCATCTTGGTGTCTAGACAGTTATGTATTTCTCCTCCATCCTCCAGGTCAAAGGTTACTGTTTTCCTGGCGAGCGCCCCTGTGGCAGCGATCAGGGCTGCTACTCTGAACGCCAACGCTGTGATGGCTACTGGCACTGCCCATCAGGACGCGACGAGGAGGCCTGCCCGACGTGCCCAGATGGGGAGTTCCCCTGCGAGGGTGGTACTGGAGTGTGCTACCCGGCCTCCGAGCGCTGCAACAACCAGAAGAGGTGCCCGGATGGGTCTGACGAGAAGAACTGCTATGACTGCCAACCCGGAAACTTCCACTGTGGGACTAACCTGTGCATCTTTGAGACGTGGCGGTGTGATGGCCAGGAGGACTGCTTGGACGGGAGCGATGAGAGGGACTGCCTGGCAGCGGTGCCCAGGAAAGTGATCACGGCTGCCCTGATCGGCAGTCTGGTCTGCAGTCTGCTGCTGGTCATTGCCCTTGGCTGTGCCCTAAAACTCCACTCGCTCAGGAGCAGAGAGTACAGGTGGGGAGAGACAACACAACACAGCTTTTATATATCATTACTGGTCCCCCTTCTTACACTAAGTTTGCATGTACTGTTCTTTCTTCTTTTTGTGATTGAATAACTCTATGACCATAGTAACAAGTTTTATATGCCAGGTCAGTCTTATAATGTGGGCCCTTACTGCTGTTGTTTTTTTAGAATAACATGTTTTCCTAAGTTATTAACTCGCTCACTCTCTGTCTACGTCACTTCAGAGCTTTTGAGACTCAGATGACTCGCATGGAGGCCGAGTTTGTTCAGAGAGAGGCCCCCCCTTCGTACGGCCAGTTAATCGCCCAGGGTCTCATCCCTCCGGTGGAGGATTTCCCGGTGTACAACCCCACTCAGGTAGAGCATTCACACACAGTAATACACTCTGGGCCCCATTTTCCTGAAGCTAAGGATATGAACAACAATTTTGGTGTCCAGCAGCTGCAGTAGTGCAATCATGACACAGACAATATTGAATTTTTATAACTTATTATAGTGCATAAAATGTGTTTCCTTTATTATTTGGTGCTCAAAGGAATAGTTTGAAATTTGGGGAATTGTGCTTATTTAATTTCAGCCAGTTAGCTTAGCTTAGCATAACTACTGGAAGCAGGGGGAACCGGCTAGCCTGGTTCTGTGTGAAGGTACCAGCACATCTGAAGATCACAAAGTAACGCATTGTATCTTTTTTATTTAATCCGTGTAAAACCAAGAATTTGCAGTTTTACAGGGGCTTATGTGCAGGGCTATTTTTTGCTGATGCCGTGACTTCTGAACTTGCATGGCATATACACAGTGATGACAAGACTCCTGGAAGTCACTGCTCCCAGCCAAGAAACAGTACACATAACCCCCTGTACAACAGCAAGTTGTTGTTTTTACACTTTGGATGTGGATGGACACAAAGAAGTTCTATTAATTAGTAGTTAGTGAGCGTTAGAGTTACTGGCAGGTTGGTTTTATTGCCTTTGGACAAATTAACAATAGCTGTTTCCCCGTTTCCAGTCTTTATGCTAAGCTAAGTTAAGCCAACCGGCTGCTTGCTCCAGTTTCATATTGCATAGTCAGATATAAGAGTGGTACGGATCCTCCCAGCCAACTCTCAGCAAGACAGGGAACAGGGCCATAAATGGTTACTATTTCTGGTAAAATGTACTTTACAAAATTGTAGCCCCTGTCTGTCCGCCCTCTCCCTCCTACAGGCCTCCGTATTACAGAACCTGCGGTTAGCGATGCGCAGGCAGATCAGACGTCACTCGACACGACGCACCAACTCCTCTTCCTCCTCTCGACGGCGTCTTGGGCATCTGTGGAGTCGCCTGTTCCACAGTGGAGGACGAACCAGAGGCCACGCCCCCCTGCTTGACCCCCCTGGACCTACACAGATCACACTGGGGCTCCATAGCTACCGAACTGTGGGTGTGCAAGGGCCCCAGGCAAGGGCCAGGTCTGGAGCTGGGCTCGGGGATGAGGTCGATGTAGTTGGTATGCCAGGCTCTTGCTGCTCAGCCAACATAGACATGCAGCCCTACACACCTGAAAGCCCTGCCTCACCTCTGTCCTTGCAGTCAGTGGACAGTCCAGAGGAGGAGGACCTGTCACCTGTCAGCAGCAGGGCCCCGCAGTCTGAGCCCGCCACCCCTGTTCAGAGTGACTGTTCTGCCCATAGCAGACCCCCTCTCACTCCCCAGGAGGCCTCTGTACCCCCCTGCCACCCCCGGGCATCTAGGAAGCTGGTTCTGGAGCTTGCTGTTAACCTCAAGGGTGTTTCCTTGAGACGTTACTCCCCCTTGGGGCCTTTGTCCCCTATCTCACCCCCTGTGTTTCCCAGCAGCTCCCAGACATCTACAACCCACCCTCACACCCAAGGGCTGGAGGTGACTCCACCTCCCGAGCCCTCGTCTTCTGCGAAAGCAGAGGACAGCGATAGCCACTTTACCGTGGAAGTGCCAAGCAGGGAATTAAGAAGCAGGGATGAGAGGAGGAGGGAGGGCAAGAGCAGACTCTGCAGGTTCAGCAGGACCTTCAGTGATGAGGGAGGAGATTCAGGGAGAGAGACAACGCCAAACTTTTAGAAGAGTTTAGGAAGATACTCTCCTACCCCTCTCTCTGTTGAGACCTGGTGTCAGCAATATCTGCTCAGCTAAAGTGTCCTTGAAATGTGTCCCTACCAGACCCAGAGGTGAGACCCGTACCATATCCCACCACATGTAGGGGGCGCAGTACAATATAATTAGGTCATGCCCATTCAACACTTCGAATGCATAAAAATCTGCACATGCACAAAATTATGTATATGCAGTGTTTTCCTAAGATGAATAAAACCAGCGTTGGTAGTGCTTATAGTCTGTGCTGTAATGGAAATCTTTTTGTCAAACAGGAGCTTAATGTTGACCCCCACAATTCAGTGCAAACCGACAACCTTGTTTAACCTGTTTGGACATAAACTCATCACGAGCCTGTCCCAGAAATTCAAACTCAATTCCGGCCACCAGTACCAATACAATATTGACAACGCCAAAGCAGCCTTTGTGTCGTTACCCAGAGCCATTATGCACCGCTATATACTGTGAACCATAAAAGCCTATTAAATGATCACATATGAATTTATCGGGTTAATGGTCCCCTACTCTGTCCTATTCCCACTCTTTTGTTTGAGGTGGTGTTAGTTTTGTTATTGTATGACATTTCTACAAGGTCACGGTTGGCTGTCGCAGTTAAGGAAAAGCTGGCAATATTTTATATCTTTGCTATTTGTCAACAAATCATATGAAAAAGCTAAAACCAAAATTTGTCCTACTACTACTAATACTTTTCAACTTCACCAGCTTCACCACTTAAATTTTCCTTAAAGGCTAAATAATTTCCAAAACTGAAATCTTCAAAAAACGACCGGAGTAAATAGTGCATTTGTTGGAGACTATTTTCAGCCGTGCATTAATACACATTTGGTGCATGTTCATGGTAATGATGCAACATGTCACCCAGTGCTACAGTGGGGCTCATTGGTGTGGTTTTAATAGTTTTTGGATAACCATGGCGCTCTGTGAGACAGAGGAATAAGCTATATTAGGCTACACAGACAATACTAGAATAATACATAGTTGGTTTTGGTCTTTTCATGGGAGTTTTTAACAATAAAAAAGTATAAAATACCACCAGACTTACCATTTTAAATACAACTTTGAACCAGAAGCGTTTGACATTATGGGAAATATTCTTACTTGATTTCTGGCGGAAAGTTAGAGAAGATAAGAAAATTGATACCACGCTCATATCTGTGCGTAAGATTTAAGGCTACCCCAGCAGCCAGTCAGCTTAGCTTAGCTTAGCACAAAAACTGGAAACAGATTGAAACAACTAGCCTGGCTCTGTCTAAAGGTAGCTTTCAAAGGTGCTGGCTAAAGCCTTATTTATAACAACATGAGATATTAAAGTGGTCTCATATAACTTAGCCAAAGTGCAAATAAGCCTATTTCCCAAAAATGTCCAAATGTTCCTCTAACACTTGTGCAGTGTCACTGATTCATGCCGCGGTTCAATCATGCCAAACCCTCGTCAGTATTTATTCAACATATACTGTACGTTTCCTCTGTGTTGCTTCTGTGACCCCTTTTAAGAAACACTAAGAACTTTCTCATTATGTTTTGGAAGTTGTATCATAGATTTTTCAATTCAGCAATTTTAACTTGATATATCATCAGTTTTAAAAAGCCAAACCTGGATGGAAACCGAAGTCCAACTATATTGCTGTGTAATTCAAATTCAAACCCAAACTGTCCTCTCCAGGAAGCCTCTCCTCGCTTGAATGAACTTGACTGTGTCTGATTTCTATTCAGTTCAGTGAAGACTTTACATGAATGTCCAGGAAATGTTGGGAAGTGATGCTTCTTTACACTATTGATTGTTTGCAGAGTCTCCTTCAATCCAGCGGTACCGATGCAGTACTGCAGACTGCTCACTGGTCACTGCAGATGTCTGAACTGCTGGTTTATTCCACTGGAAATTCATATCTATGCTGTGGAATTTTCTATGACAGGATGTTAAAACAAAGACTTCTATTTTTCAGTCTTCAGCGGAGACCTGTACTTGTTCTACTTTATATTTCTCTCTCTGCCTTGACAAACATTGACCTTGATTGAACCTGGTTGCCTGTGTCTCTGATGTTTTGTAAAGCTTGTCTCTCTGAAGTTATGACACTGATGACCCTTTACTAATCACTGTTGGACTTCTAAAGAATGTATCACTTTAATTTTTCTTGAAATCAATGAATTTCTAAGTCTTTTATTGCAGCATATTGATACTGAACGGAAAAGACAGATTACGAGTGTAAGTGGCGAGAGAATGAGAAATGTGTCCAATTGCTGGTTGATATTTAGCTGCAGTGTCAGGTTCTACGGAAGCCCCGAGAGGCAAGTGAGAAAGAAACATAAGGTGGCCTATTTTTAATTCTGATCTACTTTTAAGTGTGAATTAAATTGTTTTCTTTCATGTGTTTATGACTTAAAACAGGTTAAAAAAAAGGATTTTCCGGGATAATCTTTCCAAGTGTTTGATTTTGTAATACTCACTTCAGTCACAAGGGGCTGAAGTGCACCACTACCACATGTTCTAAATAGGCATGCATTAAATGCATTCATGTTTTCTTTCAGGCACTCTAAACAGAAGTATATTGTGTATTAGCTAACACAACTTATTTTTTCCCCAGTTTCACTGGTGTAAGAAAACAGAATAAGGAACTTAATTATTTGGATTATTCTGGTATATATATTTATGATTTTTTTCACTTTTGTTTGTAAGTCATAAAAAGAGAGAGGAAGAAAACAATTTAGCCATAGAAAATTCATCACCTGAATTTATTATTATTTTTGCCTCTCTGGGCCTCCATAGATTTCTGTACTAAATACATGGTCTTTCCTGCTGTTTTCCCCTTTTTAAAGTGAGCTGAATGTGCCATGCTACCCTCATGTGCTTCCTTCTTATAGAAGTTTTGTCTTTAACAGCTGCTACATTATGTGCCATTAGAGATGTCTCCATACCCCTTCACAAGTAATCCTTCCTAATGATCTGTTCTAATTCCCTTTCCCTTCCCTCGAGATATAGAGAAATACAAATTGATTTACTCATTCCTAGTTTTGCATATTTTGTGCTATTTTTTTATTATTGTACCTTGTCCTCATTTGACTTGGAGTGTAATAGTTTAGCTGCTGTTTAAAAAAAATCGTATTTCATTCATATCTGCAGAATGTGTGTACTCGCTTTGTAATGTACATAAGTGTGTTATAATGCCTTAATGGATTTACCTTGCTCTTGTAAATATCATGGATAGTTTCACGGATCAGTTGTGGTTTACATGTATGAAGAGATGAGATTTGTCTGTGTCTGGACACAGCTCCACGGTGTGACATGTGATTGGTACGACTGACTACTCTGGAGGTATAGTGCACTACTGCGTCAGGAATCTCTGGGATTATTATGGAAGGAGAGTTAGGGAAAAGAATATTTGTTTTTCAAAAACCTTGTTCGTGTGTATTTACCTGTGTATTTAAATGGTAATTGGTAAAAGTCTTGGTGACTTTCATTGCTTTGATGTTTTTCAGACTGCAGCCAATAATTTGAATTCTGTCCATGTAACGTGAGACTGTGTCACATTGGCTACTAAAGGTTAAGGTGATGTTTTATTATCTGTTAAGGATCATGGAGATGTTCTGTTCTGTACCCTGGGTTTTATTGGTTTGTTAAAGTTGTGATAAACTGCTGGACAGAAGCCATGTCAACATCTTCTAAACTGTTTTGTCTGTTTGTTTTTTTTTTTGTTTTTTTTTATATCTTTCCATTGGTTTTATTCACTCAAGTACATAATCAAAACCTTTCCAACATGAGTAATAACTGTACTTTTCAATAGGTTAGCACATGGGTAAATACACTGGATCAAGGCCATTGGAAATGAAAGTACTACTGAACCAGGCTGTCCGATGACGGCGTCCCCTCTCCTGGCTGTATGATTTTAAAGCTCATTCCCCATCAAAGGCTGAAGTCAACATATACTGTGTTTGTATAAAAGCATTTCTCTCATTTTGAGAACTATATTTGTATATTTTGTGCTGAAAGAGAGATGCCACCATGACGTTGTGGGGTTTGCTGATCAAAACCCTGTACAGCCTTCTGCTCATTAGCCTGCAATCAATAAACTTCAAGCTCTTTATCATTTACGGACTTTTTTTCAGTGTATGAAATATGATTTATCAAAAGTTTTATTTTTGCATCCACCTATTATTCCCAGTACCACCATAATACTGTCTGTGGTCTTCATGCTAGCGTCTGAGGCTGTACTTAAACGCTAACACGTTCACAGAGACAATGCTTGCATGTTTACCACGTTCACCGTCTTGGTGTGTTGGCATGCTAACATTTGCTAATTAGCACACAATACTAAGTATAGCTGAAGTGATCAATTTAGAGCTGATGATGTCGCTAGATGAAAAGTCTTGGGATGATATCGAGGACACAATAACCAGTTGCATTATCGAAAAAGAATTATGCTTCTTAGAAGTTGCTATATTTAATGAGCAATTACATTGTTATTCTTGTACAACTTAACACTCTTACGAAACACAGATGTACACCCATCAATTGTACAGTATGTAAAATGTATCACAACATGTCTGAGGAATGTGATCTTTCAAAGTCCAAAGGCAGTTTTTTTCTTTTTTCTTTACACAGTATTTACAGATCTCAGCTGAACTAACAGCGTCTGGACGTGGCAGACAGATGTACACGTCATCTTTAAGTTTGAGTCTTTTTGTGTGGATTTGATGGGGGGGATTGGATTCCCAGCATCTGGCCTGGAAAAGGACTGAAGGTTCAATCCAAGTTCCAACCTGCTGGTTTCATCATGTTAAAAAGGCCACTGGCCCAGACCTTCTATGTTCTGTTGCATGTACAGAACGACATAAACAGCTTATAGACAAGTGCTATAAGGAATTACCGAAACACACATAAACACAAATATCTCCTGGGCCACAGTAAATTAGCATACTGTGTTAAGGTAGTGGTACCACAACTTCAGTAAGGAAACTTGATCTTAATAATTGAAGTTTTTAAACTCAGTTGCTCGATTGGGTCATAATAAGTCAATATCTTTTCGATTCAACTACCACTGAAAGTCCACAGTAGGTCAAATGGGATGATAATCAGTTCAACTATATTATTCAATAATATCATAGTAAGTCAGCGTGCTGGGGTAACTGCAGTGATGATGTGTCTTTGGGGAAGTGGGAGAAAGCCCATGCACAAGTAAACATCCACTGCCACCCATCTATCTGTCAACATGGATCCTGCTAATGTAACATCAATGTTAAGTACTAAATCACATCAGGTGAAAAATCTGAAATCTAATAACTGTCTTGGCAGGTCAAGCACCTTATAGAGTTCACAGTGGCATTCATTCCCAGAGATGAGAACATTTCCAAAGCAACAAGCTCAACAGAGGCTCGGGGTGCTCGGAGACCAAAGGAGACAGGTGTACATTAAAAACCTGAAGAACAGCCTGTCAACATGTGTTGAAATGATGCAGCTTAATCTTTTGAGAGAGAGTCAGCCTTTCGGTCCAGCTGACAGCCACAAACTTCCCATCATCCTCCTGTTACTCCTGTGCTGTAAATATTGCTGGGAAAGATGAGTGTTGTGTGGATAACCTCTCTAATATCAATATGAAGGCACCTGCAGTATCTCTCAGGAGAGGCATGACATAATAAAAAAGAGAGGGATGTAAAGTAAAAAGGAAGGCCAGATACTGTGGCCTGGCAGAGATACAGACGGAAAAATACTCATCCACAGTAAACATGTGAGTAATTAGTGAGAGAGAGCTGAAGGTAGCAGCAGTAAAAGAGAAGTATTGCCAAGTGCAGAAACTGCTTGCATATTTACCTCATAAAAGTTATTACACAATCAAAATACCCGCACAAACCATTACACTATACCAACACATACATTTCATAAGGCACATCAGCTCAAGGATTTAGTTGAAGTCATAAAAGAAGAATATCTTGGAAGTGAAGCGGAAGAGTACAGATGGAGGTTCCTTCAGTGAGTAGAAGCGAGATGATGAGCTAAAGATCTGCATGAAAGAAGAGAAAAACTTGGCATACTGGTGAGGACAAAGGGGAGTACAGTACTACCAAACCAACAATAAACATTAGGCAACTTTAGGGCTTAACATGCTAATTCCCAAAGTATATCCATCAGCTTCTTTTATACTGGCGCTTCATCGCAGCCCCACTCAGGCTGCACTTGTTCAAGAACATGGACGAAATCATCTGCTCACCATCACCACAAACTGACCAAACTGTGATAAACTGTAACACAAAAAACTGGAAGTACAGGTTGATCTAAAAAGGGACTTCCTGGCTGACTGCACTGCTCAGTCAATGGCTTTGGAGGCAGTGAGGGGTTCAGTCTCTGAAGGGTCTTCCTGAGGAAACACCACATAACACACCTTCTGGCCCATGTATGTGACTCTTTCTGCAACACAAAAGACAACATGAGGAGTTTAATTAAAGGGATGAACTGCTAACATATCTAAATAAATATCAGTTAACACTGGACGGTGGCACAGGCCAACTCACCTACTAGCCTGTAGACCCATTTGGGTTTGTCCTTCCACCAAACACCCACAAAGTATACGGGGACTCCAGTCAGCATGATGACCATTCCCAGGCCACAAACCACTGGTTCAGAGTACAGACTGAAGCCCAGCAGCACAGCCCAAAATATCATGTAGCTGATGGGGATCAGCATGTTCACCTGCACAGGACAGACACAGACTCAATTCCACACAATCCTTTCTCTTTTCCAAAAAATTGCCACCTTGCATTAAATAAGATTAGAATTTTAAAATTTCTTCCATTTGAGACAGTTGCAAACCCACATAGTTTCTGTATGCAGTGTACTGTATCCAAGCAAAATTAATTAAAACGATTTAATACAAAATTATGAATAATTGTGACACACTCTGTGGGTGAGTGTGCTCCTCTGACACTGGGAGCAAACGTTTTATCGTTTCTGCAGCTTTTTTTACGACTGCGTTAGTTAGACTGTGAGAGTGATTTTGTTTGTTGTATGCACCGCACAATGCATCGCATTAAAGCCATTTAACCCAGTGAGTAGTTTTGCATAAGACTGGAGACAAACGGATGACTACAAAATACTTTTCAGTGCACTGACACCGCGGGAAAAGGCTCTTGATATTAAAGCAGGACTTTATTATCTCACATAGTCCAACGTGTGTGTGTGTGTGTGTGTGTGTGTGTGTGTGTGTGTGTGTGTGTGTGTGTGTGTGTGTGTGTGTGTGTGTGTGTGTGTGTGTGTGTGTGTGTGTGTGTATCAATTGTCTATGCTATGTGTTTTTCTGTTTGCCTCAATTGCCCCTGAGGGATGAACATGAAAGTAGACACCAGGTGGCGCCAAAGTACTGTCCATATCCATGACGGCGACCATAAGTGACAAACTACCAGCAAGTCACATCTGACTATATGCAATGGCCCATTAATTGTCCTGTTAACAGCTTTGTGGCCACTTTGGCTGCTGAGTTAATGTTTGGTTTCATGGCTGCTGCTCAGCTGAGGTGATAAAACTTAAAATATTAATCTGTTCCTAGCGGATGGAGCCTTATGAAGCTCGGGGCTTTCTTCGCATTTGTGCTGAAAAAAAGATTCAAAGCTTCGGGGGTTCAAATGCAGCAAGCACAGTGACATCTGGTGTCTTGCAAAACTGAGCCGTCTAAGACTGGGGCCTAAGCTTATATACATTATCCCTACACTTTGATACAGTATACTAATCTAGACAGAGTGGTGTTTTATCCTCCAGTAGGAAATTGTCTTTGACCGAGAAAACATAACAGGCACAGTTTTGTAGGGGTGCCATAATTACAAAGTCTATTATAACTTACTTACTGCAACTTCTTGAGGCAGCCATTTTGTACTCTTTGCTGAGTATACATCATCTGATCTACTACGCAGTCCAGTATACAACTTCTACAGTGTGATGTAGAAACTTGAAGCCTCCAGTGCACATCCACTGAGAATGGACTTTACAGTGAAGGAGGAGCAGGAAAACTTCAGAAATGAGCTAAATGAGCATATTCATAGATTCTGGAATTTGTAATGAGGTGCAGATGCCTTTTAGGATTTTAGGTGGATATTATACATATCAAACATATCAGACACACATCAAAGCACACACTATATATATATATATATATATATATATATATATGTCTTGATATATGTCTGACGGGGATCTTTAAATATTATTCCTACTGTGGATTCTGGGTTCTGTACCTTGATGGGTCTGGCCAGGTTGGGTCTCTTCTTGCGGAGGTAGAGGAGGCCGGCAATGGTTACACCATAAGACAGATAGTTGATGAAGGACACATAGTTGATCAGGTTGTGTGTCTCTCCAATGCACAGGATGAATATGGTGGCAATGCACTGTGGGAGATGAATGCAGGTTCAGAGGTCAAATGTATGAACTAACTGAAAATAATGCCAAATGATACAATATTAATATTCAAAAATAATCTGTGCGTGTGGCGACTGCTTCTCCTGTGAGGCTGGACAGAGTAGACAAAGCTGTGAGCGCAGTACTCACACAGACCAGCAGGGCGGGGATTGGAGTGCAGTTCTTTAGGTGGATCATAGCCAGCAGGTAGGGCAGGTGACCCTCTCTGGCTCCCGAGAAACACAACCTACAGATAGACAGACACAGACACAGACTTGTACGTGTGTATGTTCATCTTAACACAGGGTCGACGCCACTGTTTATTTATTCTGAGGACATATTTGACAAAGGAAGGTGAGTGTGTTCTACCTGGAGGAGGTGAACAGATATCCATTGATTCCTCCAAAGGTGGACAGTGCTACAGAGATCGGCATCACCCAGGAAAACATCCCCAGCAGCTTTTCCCCGAATGTCTGGAACAACACAACATCTGATGGATCAGATTATTGACTTTTACTGAGTGACTGACTTATTGATTTATTTAGTCAGTCCGTAACAGTAAGATGTTAAATTATTAATTTCAGTGAAAGGTGCGTTGTACGTTTTGAACACCCTGCATAGCTATATCAGACTGTTGCTGCACAGGCGTTTGTTTATGGGATAGAAAACTGGTGTTTTTAGTCCCTTTTAGGTGTTTTAAAAATTTGA